GACATTAAGCCCGGCATTAACCCTATGCCTCCCAGACCTCGGAGCTAATGCCGCTCTTCGAGGCTTTAGCTCCCATGGGAGAACTAATTGGCTCATTTGAGGCATTAGCTCTGCCGGGTCAGGCCTTGAGGCCTCAGCCAGGCATAATGCCTGAAGCCTCGGGAACTCAGGCATTAGCTCTCTGAAGCCTGAAGCCTCACCCTCCGCCAGACCACGGACCCCACCCCCCCTAAAGCCTCACCCCCGGCACCGACCCCAAGCTGCACCTAACCCTAACCCTAACCCTAGCTGATGCCTCGTCAACCCTAGCTGATGCCTCATCAACCCTAGCCCCACTCCATTTCTCCCCACCGACCACCATTCACTCCACTTGCCACTCACTGCCCCCTTGCCACCCCTACCCATCCCACCCATGACCCACATCCACATTCCCACCCACTTCACCATACTCATCCTCGACGCCACCATGCACATGGCTGTGCACGGGCCTGAATTGAGTCTTTGATGCTGATTCAATTTCCCCATCCCTCCATTGACACTTGCCCGTGTCACTTGTTCGGCCGAGTGGCATGTGCGGGTTGGTGGGTGACATGAACGTCATTCAATATTTCCATGATTCGCCACTCGTCACTCGTTTGATTGTTTGACATTCAATTGATTGTCATTGATCATTGTTAATTGATCATTCGATTCTTTCTGCTCTCTTGTTGGTGGCTTACCTTGTTCTTTGTTTGTTGCCGTTCATGTTTCCACATGCTTTGTTGTTGCTATTGTCGGCCTTCATGTTCTGCTTTGGTTGCTTTTGCCTGTGATGGTTGACTACAATCGACATGCATCCCCATTGATCATTCCTTTCGTTCTTGTTGTTGCTTTTTATCATTATTTGTCATGCTTTATTTGTTCTTGACTCTCCTGTTTTCATCAACCTTGACTTCCACATCCTTGATCGACCGTTGCTCACTACACCATCGATTCTCAACTTTGTTGTCGTTGGCCATGGTCAATAGTTGTGCATGCAATGTATTTTGTGTTCACCCTGTTGTGTCGTGATCATGGTTGATCTGGAGATCTGATCGATCATCCGCGGTCTGCCTCATCGACCTGAACGTCACCCGAGTTCATCCCATTGCCTGCTAGCTTTGTTCAGTCCCTGTTGGCTTACTCATACGTGTGCTGTGCAAGCCATGTATGATCTTTGGTTGTTGTTGTGGTCGTCATTGCCTCGTTTGACGCTGGTTCCGGCTTTTCTTCAATTAATTCAACGTTCAACTCAATTAACGTCCGCCGCCTTCCCTCTGCCGGCCAAGTACCCGCCACCCTCATCAACCACACCCCACACACACCCATCAGCCGTATCATTCCCATCGTCATCAATGCTCAAGCCCAATTGCCATATCCATCACCGCTTCGCCCGTCCCGCCTCCCACATCACGACCCCCCTCATCCCCCCTACCATACTCATTACCACCCGTCACCACAAACGACCACCCCACCCCCTACTCCACCACCATCACTTCCATCCCAGCCACAACTCCCACCCCCATGCCATGGCCAAGCCCACCATCATCCCATCGCGCACTCGGCTTCCTCTTCCTCCTCATCCTCCTCCTCTCCCCGCTCCAGCTCACCCCCATCCTCTTCCCCGACTCCGACACCGTCATCCCTTAACCATCCCATGGCAGACTGCCTATTCACCAACCAAAAGCATTTCCAAGCCATCCAGCCCCGACCCAGCTCCCTCAACTGCTCCGCCTCGCCGACCACCAGCCGCCAGCCGGCGCCCGCTCGCCCGATCAGGCCCATCTTCATCACCACCTAGCTCCTTCCTACTACCAGCTACGCTACCCACAACCTCACCCAATGTCATCACACACCCCACACTATCACCAGTATCAATATCGCTGTCATCGACACTCATCTTCCTCGGCTCACTTGCGCGTCGACTTGTTTTCCCTAGGCGGTTGAGCACGCCCTCGACCGCCCGACCCCGCACACAACCCCCATCACACTCATTGCAAGATATGGCCAATCTGATTACACTCTTACCCTAATACATACACACACTACCACCTTGCTCAGTCTCCACTCCACAGCTGCAGTATTCCAGAATCCGAGTTCCGCCGGCTCAGGCCCAAGCTGTTGGCCCGGTGTCCCTTCGAAGGTGCTCAGCCCCCCGACCCAGTCCCATCTCCGACCCCCACTCCCCACCATCCCAACCCACAACCACCCTACCCACACCACACTTATCCACTATCCCCACAATCTCACCCACCCAATCCCCTTGCCTCGATACTAACATCAGCCGACACAATCCCGTCATCAGCATCACTGCCGACCGCCTGCTGCTCACCACCGATCGCCGCCCAAGCCGACCCGTCCACCGCCGGCACAACCCCGATCAGGCTAGGCAGAGCACGAGTATAGCATGATCTACTTGTGGGTAGTGAGACAAGTGGCAGTGGCTATCAGTCCCTTGCCCCACCTCCTCCTCCCCTCCTTCTCCCCGCTTTGCCCATCCTGCCCCAGCCCACCTGTCAACCAACACAGCTGGTGGTGAGAGGACCGACGGGTCACACGAGGCCAGTGGGCTGGTCAGGGCGAAGGAGAGGGAAGGAGGGCGAAGGAGAAGGATTAGGGGTTGAGGTGGTAGATAAGACTACACTGGTCTGCCGCCCGATCTTGTGTCCTGATGCCCGTGTCGTCGTCTCCTGTCGACTGCTCGCTGGCCAGCAACTCCCCGCTCGCTCGCCCGCCCGCTCAACTATCCGCAGCCAAGCCAAATCAAGCCCGATCAAGCTCAGCACGACCTGCATCTGGCTATACAGGGGGGAGTGGCTGGTGTGGTCACAGGGAAAGGAGGTGAGGGGGTGTAGATGGATGGAGTGGGACGAGTGTGGTGGCTACGGCTGCTGCTAGCGCTGCTGCTGTGGCCGAGGCCGAGGCGAGCAGCGAGTGGTCGAGTGACGGCCAGCCGCTCGTCGCCGGCATGGACGCCGTGCTGCTGCTGAGGCGGGAGAAGAGAAAGTCCAGGCCCAAGGCGGCGATGACCAAGTTGGTGATATTGCTGATGCTGATGAGGATAGTGATGGGGATGGGGGATGGCGATGGCTGGCGATGGGTGTGATGGTTGAGGCGGCGGACGACGAGCCAAAGCGGTGGCGGTGGCTGAGGCCGAGGCTGTGGCTTCTGCGGAGAGAGAAGGAAGAGAATAGGCATGAACCACACGTTGCGAGCGAGGTAGCTGCTGTGGATGACCATCGGCGCTGCATCGCTGCCGGGCAGTCAAGTGAACGACACCCGACACAGGCGAGCAGTCAGGCCGAGGTCGAGGGTGAGGGCCTGAGATCGGAACTTCAGAACGGCGAACGGGTTCAGGAGTGCGAGTGTGATGGGCCCAGAGCCAGTTGACCTGGTGCGAGTCGTTACCGTTGTCACCATCGTCGTCACCAACACCCCGGCCGACTCAGCTGCCAGCCGACACCGACTCACGATGACGCACCCATGATCATCGGCCTGACTTTGATTCTGCTCTCCCTCCACCTCACTCTCTTCTACTCTGCCTCGCAGCTCACAACTGCCTGCTTCCGTCTCATCAACCCCACCTTGCCTGCTCTGTCTTGCCTCGCCTCCTTCCCGCCTACTGCGCCGCCGATCATGACCCAATCCGACGGCTGGCTGGCCGAGGATAGGGCACTCCCACTCTCACTCTCCTCCGAAACACATCCCCACCCCCGCCTTCCCTCTGCTCCTTTGTTGCTGCTACTTACTCTGCCTGCACCCACTCCCATCGCCTTACCCATGCCTCAACCCTGACGACAACGGCGTGGGACGAGTTGGACGACGACGTGCATCACGACGACAGCAATTGTCTCAGCAAGAGTGACAAGAGAAGCAACATCAGCTCTACCATAACCAACATGATCCGCGGCACGCTTAACGTGACTTTGACCATGGCTTTCCCCTCCTCCCCCGCCAAGACTCTTGTTTGCTGCCTGCTTGACTTTTCCCACGCCGCCCTACCCATGCATGCCTCAATCCCTGCCGTTCCTCACCCATTTCCGCCTCGCGCACTCGCTGTTTTACATTCGGATTGCCGTACAACCCGGCCAACTTTATTCCCCACCTGTCTCGCTACCACACCTTTCGTACCTATCCAGCAGTGATGGATTCTACAGACCACGCCAACGCCTCTGAGCCCAACCCTGCCACCCAGGCCGTCCCGGGCGCCCCACCGCCCACCGCCGACATCAACGACGCCGTCGTGTTGGCCCTCCTTCTTGATCACTGCGACACCTACGATGCAGTCCTGCACGCACTGGGTCCATTTGCCAGCATTGATGTCATCATGTATTTGGCAGGCCTAAAGTAGCTCAAGCAACTACATTAGCCGGCCTAGAGTCGGTAATGTCGCAATCGAAAGTAGCATGTCGCAATCGAAAGTAGCCACGGCCCGGTGCCTCTGGACCCCCCCTCCCTGCCACCACCACCGGCGCCGTCAACACCACAACAAAGAGACTCCCTCCCCCATTCACTCGCTACACTATCTTCTCCCCACTGTCTTGCTTGTACGGCATGTCAAGCTCCCCTATCTTTCTCCCTCTCTCCCTTTTACGCCGCGGAACAATGGCCACCGGCGCTGCCCAGGGCAAAAAGTGCAAAATCGCTCACCTTCAGCCCCCCCATCCTCATCGACAACACGCACATCCACATCCACACAGATATCCATCCAAGTGCTTCTACACATGCTACCATACCCTTGTACACACCTTCGCTACCTCTCATGGCCCAACATTCCCTGCAGAGTAAAAGTGCAAAAATGCAAATCAGCCTGCCAGCCGATGCATTTTGCACTTTGCAGTTTCTGGTCCCACTTCCTTAACAAAACCCTGCGCTTTTTCCACACATATGCCAACTCCTCACCGGCATCCACTCGACTTTACCCATGGAGAAGTCAAGCAACCCATCTCGCTCAAGCCGCGAGTCCTCCCACAAGCGCCGCAAGACCAAGGCCAAGCGCCGCAAGGCCAAGGCCAAGCGCCGCAAGGCCAAGGCCAAGCGCCGCAAGGCCAACAACTGTTCTTCCACCGCTTCCACTGCCTGCCGTGTTCAAACCACATCGGATTTTCTTGCCACCTACCCTTCCACCGGCCTTATCCCCGTCCGGTCCTTCGATAGCATCCAACGCCTAAGCCAGCTCCAGATTGCGACAGAGCTCGCGACCCCCACTGACTGCAACTATATCGCCAAGGTCTCAGAGTTCCGTACTGTAACTCACAATTTTCTTCACCGGCGTGTCACTGTGGCCATTTTTGCTCCCATGGGCTGCGGTAAGTCCTGTCGCCTCAATCAGCTCGTGGCCGATATGCAGACTCTTGCTACCATTGCTGTCAAGCAAGAGCCAGATCTGCCCATCACTGATCTCATAGACTTCTTTGGGCAGTGGCCACTGCCGTCTTCGGCGGGCGCCAACTCGGTCACCACCGTTCCGGTCCACCTCGTCTACAACCGCGAGCAGCTCATCGTCCGCATCGTCGACCGCGAGACGCGTACGCCCTGCTCAGATCCTGTAAGCATCTCGCCTGTCGAGTGGCGTACCATGCCCGCCGTCATTGCCTCCGCCTCCGCCTCTGCCCCTCCTGGCGCCGTCATCGAGGCTGTTGGCCCCTGGAAGACCGGCCCCTACCTCGAGCCGGTCGACGTCCCCGGCCTCGGCCCCAAGGCCTCGCCCGACGACATCGCCGCCGCCATCGCCGCTATCGACATCATCTGCGTCATCACCCGCCGTGTCGCCATCGCCAACAACCTGCAACACCTCATGCAGGCCATCGCCTCCCGCCCCATCGACGACGCTCGCGTTCCGTTTGTTGTCAACCTCTGCAACGTCGACGCCTCTAGCCTTGGTGACGACGACAACGCCAAACTAACGGATGCTATCATGACCTGCCTCTTGGCCATTGACCCGGCTTCCGTGCCTGTCAACACCAATCCGTGGCCTTTTCTTCGCCAGATCGCCCGCACCGCCCGCGCCGCATCGTCCCCGCACCTCTTCCTCGACATCACCAACCTCAAGTTGCTTAGTGTTGCCGCCTCGTGCCTCCTCGATTTTTCTACTCGTGCTCACGCCTGGCTTGCGGATATGGTCGAGTGGGCTTGTGCAGCTGCCGGCAGCACCGTCGCCAACGCTGCCTCCCGCATCGTTCGCCGCGTCCGTACCCTGGAAGTCAACGATCTCGCTCCAGTCAACGCCGACGTCACCGACATCATCAACACCTCTGTCGACACCATCCGGAACACCAAGGCTTGTTACGACCAGGACTTGGGCCCCACCATCGACTACCTTACCGGTTCGTATGATGTCAACATCCTCGCAGAGCTCATTGTGGAAAGCCTCAATGAGCCTCTTCGATTCCCTGACCACGCAACTGACTCCAACACGCTCGTCCAGAACACGGACGAAGTTGGCGCTGCTCTCCTCTCGACCACATGCAACATGATCGACGACGCAGCTCGCACTGTCTCCGACAGCATCAGGCACAGCCTGGAGATCAACATCCGCAACCGCGACAAGGACGCTCTGTCTCTCTTGATGGTCCCCGACACCGCCAGCATTACCACCATCTCTCGTTCTGCTGAGAAGCGGTTCCTTCACGAGCTCCACGCCGCTATCACAGCAGCCGACCGCGATGCCGTCACTGCCGCTGTCGCCGCACTCCTCATTGCCATCCGTTCTTGGGTCGTCAAGGCGTTCAACAAGGCCATTCAGAAGTGCTACCTCGCCGCGACCTTTGCCATCAAGCCGCCAACGACGCCCAACCTCCGCTTTAACGAGTTCAAGTTGGCCGTTGAGAAGCTCAGAGCCGACTCGAGCGCAGTCGTCATCGCCATCAAGAACGCCCGCTACAACACCGCCAGCAACCTGCGTGCTATCCTCACCGCGGAAAACGACGATCCCAGCATCGTGGCCGCCGTAGCAAACAACCTCCGCGGAGATCTCGATCCCGTCGCCACAACCATCTCGTTCTCCCTCACCGACGCCTCTGCGACCCCCCACGACTACACCACCATCAACCGTCTCTCAAGCTGCCGCGCCAACTTGTTCCCTCCAGCACCTGGAGCTGACCCGCCCGCCGTCCTCATGCTCGACATCGCCAACGACCGCTCGGACGTCACGCTTGCTGCTGCAATCTCAGACACCAACAAGTGCGAGTACAACGATTTCATCACCGCCAACAGCGATGCCAACGGCCCGCTCGCTGTCGTCGATGTCTCCATCGCCCACACCGCTCCGTCCTCCCTCGAAGATGCGGTCGCATGCTACCACAACACCCTCTCTGGTATCCCGTGGCTTGGCAACCATCTGATTCGCGTCCCTTGTGACGCCAGTCGCATCGTGTTTGTGGCACAGGAGCCCATCTTGATTGAGGCGTTCATGCACTTCCTCGCTGCCACTAACAAGCACGCGATCGGCGAGTCGTCGTACTTCGCCGTCGTCTCCACCTCCACAACTCCACTCATCGCCGAGGCTCTCGCCGCCAGCCTGGCTCTTGCCCGATTCTCCACTGAGGGGCCGATCTCGGCCCATGCCGGCGCGCATGCCTTTGGCATTGTCGTCGACATCACCTACGACCGCATCCTCGAGTTTACCCGCGTCACACAAACCAACACCACCGCTTCCATCGGCCGGATCAACGCCACAATCAACAAGTGTGTCGCTATGGATGTCGAGAACCGCCGCCTTAACGCTCTCGATGCTGCCACTCTTCTACCCGATGCCAAAAACATCCGTTACGTCCGTCCCGGCATCCTCGACGCCAGCACCGTCCATCCGCGCTGCTACATCGAGATGGCCAACCGTACAATCTCCTACGACGAGCTGGCTCAGCTCGCACTGGTGGCTCGATCCAAAAACCCCGACTCGAACGTCGTCAGCGGCTTCTACAACGCCATCCATCGTCCCTCGCCGGGCATCGTCGGCCTTGGCGCCACCGGCGACGTGCCGCAAGGTGTGCGATCGGGCACCAAGATCGTCCGCTGCATCAAGACAAACTGCAAGCCCAACGCAGGCCTGGTCTTCATCTCCACCACTACCCTTCCCGCCATCTTGGCCCTGCCGGCCCTGGATCCCGCCAACCTGCCCGCGCGCGACGTCATCACGAGCCGCCGGCTGTGGCGCCAGGCAGCTGCTGCCGGCCGCGGCGCCGTCATCATCGACTGCTGGCAGGTCCGGGCTACCACGCTCAACCCGCGGTCCGCCACCTCAAACGACACCGCCTTTTCCAGCACTCCGCATCAACTCGCCCGGATGCGCCAGGCAAGCAACTTCTCGGAGCCGTCGCCGTCGGAGACGTCGCCGTCGCGGGGGACGTCGCCGCCGCTGTCGCGCAAGCGTCGTCGCGGCGATCACCGCAGCCTCGACGCCAGCAACACCGACTCGAGCCAGCCGCCGGCTAAGATGCGCCACGGCCTGCTCTAACTAACAGCTTACACAGACTAAAATGCAAACACAACGCAGAGTCATGCCCTTTCCATCACACAACTTGCCCTGGCCGATCGCCGCAGCCGACTTTGGCCAGCACTGCGTCTCGCCACGTGCCACGTCACCACTACCACCCGCAATCAATCAATTGCGCCTAGCAACCTTCACCGATACAGAACTATCATTCAGCACGCATTGGAGAGACGCAGACAATCGGCTGACTGTCGCGCGTCGAGTGGTTCTGGCCCACGCCGGCGCCCTCCCCGTCCGCGTGACATGCACCTCGGCCACCAACCACACCTCTAGCTGCACTTGCTCTTGTGCCAACTCTACATGGGCCATGATCCGGGCATGCGCTACCGCCCCCAAGGCTTCCACTACCGCACCTCCCTATCGTGACCTGGCTCCGTACCTACCCCTTCTCGTGGCTGCTGGCCGACGCTGAGGCTGGGGTCACTGTCGGGCTCATGGTCGTCCCGCAAGCGCTCGCCTACGCATCGATCGCCACCCTTCCTGTCGAGTACGGCCTGCTCTCGGCATGGGTTGCTCCCCTTGTGTATGCTGTTCTCGGCACTTCGCGCGACATCGCTGTCGGGCCAACCGCCATCATGTCGCTCATGGTAGCACATGCTGTGGCCTCGATGGAGGCTCCCGCTGACAAGGTCGCTGCCGCGGCTGTGCTCTCGTTCTTGGCCGGCGCTACCCAAATCCTGGCGAGCCTTGTGCGCGCCGGCGGCTTGGTCTCGTTCCTCTCTGCGCCCGTCATCGATGGCTTTGTCTCGTCAGCTGCCGTCACCATCGGCTTTGGCCAGCTTCATCACTTCTTTGGCTCCTCGGGCTCGTCGGTCTCGTTCTACGACGACGTCGTCCGCACCTTTGAGCACTGGGGCATCAATGTCCGCGACCACTGGCCAGATCTGCTTTTGGGCATGGGAGGAGTCGCGGTTGTGGTTGCTCTCAAGGCTGCTCGCGACGCATGGGGCTCGTCGTCGCGGCTCTGCCGCGCCCTCGGCACCGCTCGCAACGCCATCGCCGTCCTCGGCAGTACCGCCTTTGTGGTCGGCTATCAGGCCGCCTGCGGCCACTCGCTTGACTGCCGTGCATCGTGTGCCTCCTCGCCATTTGCGCTCACTGGCCACGTGCCGTCTGTCTTTGCCTCCTCGTTTACCGTCCCTTCGCTTGGCTCGCTCCCGCGCATCGGCGCCGCAATCGGCCCGTACGTCCCGCTGGCAGCCGCCGTCGGCTTCCTTGAGTCGATATCCATTGCCAAGGCATTCGGCGCCTCGCGTGGTTACAACGTTGGGCCTTCGCAAGAGCTCTTTGCGCTGGGCATGGCCAATGTGCTCGGTTCGTTTGCCTCGGCCTTTGTGGTCACAGGCTCATTCTCGCGCTCGGCCGTGCAATCGCGGTCGGGCGCCCGCTCGCCGCTTGCCGGCATCATGTCGTCTGTCATTGTCCTCCTCGCCATCAACCTGCTCACGACGCTCTTTTGCTTTGTTCCTAAGGTCTCGCTCGCCGCCATCATCATCACCGCCGTTGTGCCGATGTTCGAGGCCTCGCACTGGGTCTTTCTCTGGCGGACGTCGCCGGCTGAGACTGCTGTTGCCGGCTGCACCTTTGTTGCCTGCCTTGGTCTCGGCATTGCCTACGGCATCGCCATTGGCCTTGGCGCCTCTATCGTTGCCCTGCTCTACCTCAACTCCCACCCGCGGATCGAGGTCTCATTTGTCGAGGATGCAACTGTTCTGCACCTCGCCGGCCCGCTCCTCTTCCCCGCCGTTCCGCGGCTAGAGGCTGCCGCCATGGGCCTCCTTACCGATCCGCTCCCGCCAGTCGCGGTCATCCTGGATCTTGCCGCCATGCCATCGCTCGACGCATCGGGAATCCGCCTTCTCGAGCGCATCGTCGCCGCCTACCGCGTCGCCGACGTCCCCATCATGGCGGCTGGCGTTGGTGAGCGCCCGCTGGCCACCCTCCACGCCTCGGCCGCAGACCTCCACACGCTCCTCGCACACGCCTCGGCCGACGTCGACAACGTATTTTCGGCCATCCGCGCCATGCCGTTTACCCTTGTACGCCGCCGACTGCCACGCCGACCGCCATCGCCTAGCGACTCGCTCCTGCCGCGATTTTCGCTCCAGGCCCCGTCTGGTACCCACCCACGTGGATAGAGCGCCACCCCCCCATGTCAAAGGTCCACCGCGTTCCGCAAATGGCTATCGATGGCACTTGCCAGCGACTTGACAATGACACGCGAGTAGAGGTCATGAAAGGCAAAGGCGACGGTTGCGAGGAACGAGCCGTCGTCAGCAAGCCCGCCCGACGACGAGCCGAAGCGGACCCGGTCGCCCTCGACCGCGATCCACGTCCGCATACCGGCCGGCCACTCGAGCGGGCCCCACGAGGCGGCCGCCGGTGTGAGAAGCACCTGGTGCGGGGCAACGGCGACAATGCGGAAGCCAAACGCGACTTCGCCGGTCCGCCCGCGCAAGCCCTCCAGATGCCGCCGTGTGTTAGCCTCGGCCGGTCGAGGGAGGATCCACAGGCCGAGCCTGCCGAGCCAGCACACCCACCGCGCCGCCTCGACGCCCAGCGCGCCTCCGGCGGCCTTGATGCCGGCCATCGAGTCGAGCTCGCTCCATCGCGGGAGCGCCGGTGCCCGCGGCGCTGTCGGCATCGGCGGACGCGGCGCGTGTGGCAACAGCGGATCCAGCAGCACACGCTCCGGTAGCATCGCCGCCGACGACAGCCAGATCCGCACCAAATCTGCTGGCGCGAGGCTCTCCGGCGACGCTGCAGCCAGTAGCGTGTGGCCTCGTGCTCCCCCGCCGCCCACACTCCCGCCCGACGCGGCTTGGCGCCTCTCGCTCTGCGTTCTCAACACCACCTCGTACGCGTCACGGCTCCCGGACCCGTCCTTTGCCAACAGCGACGACGACGGTATGGGAATGCTTTGCACATCCGAGGTGTAGTAGACGGCAAGCCCTGCTGCCGCCGCCCCCGTCCCCACCACTCGGAACGCCCATCGGAACATCTGTTCGACTTGTCGCCGTCCGCCCTCGCGCCCGCTCGGTGTCTGCGTGAGGTGTCACTCACTCCGCCACCGCCACCGCCACCTACCGACCCACCCACCACCACCACACACACACACACACACACACACACACACACACACACACACACACACACACACACACATACATACATACATACATACATACATACATACATACATACATACATACATACATACATACCATGCGCAAGGGTGGATATGTGGTCCTCGCAGCAGTCCTCCTCACCGCAGCCACAGCCCTGCTGCTCAGCTCCAAGAACAAGGACTCGGCAGAAGCTCGCATGCGGACCGTGCTCTTCACCCACAAGCTCCATCTCCCAAACTCGCCTGACGCCGATCGCATGCACCCGCACTCGGACTCGCACACACGCTCAGACTCACGCCCGCACACGCGTCATCCGTCGCAAAAGGAGCCTTCCCTGGCCGAAGCCACCGCCGTGGACGCGCTTGGCTCAGCAGGCGACGACGCTGGCGACGAGACGGCCCAGGACGATGCCCACGGCGAGTCGGCGCGCATCCACGCTGCAGAGTCACATCGCGACGTGCTTCCGGTCACAGACGTCGAGCATGCTGCGGCGGAGGACGATGCCGGCGTCGTCGACTACCGCGGCATCCGCATCTTTGATGTCAACGTCCACGGAACTAAGATCGACGACGGCGATAGCCTGGAGCCGCTCGATTGCGGATCGCCGGCCATCGATGGCTACAAGCATGTCAATCTGACTTGCCTTGGCGAGTCGTCGACCATGGCCGACTGGATCGCCCGCGGCGAGTCGAACGACGGTTACGCCGTCTGGATGGAGCGCGGCGCCTCATACGACGGCATCGGTGTCAAGTGGGGCCCACACAACAAGAAGGACTCACCTTACGAGTGCGCTCTCGACTGCTACAACTTTGAGCCCGACCTCAAAGCCAATCAGTTCCCCTGCAACCTCTGGGTCTACTGCCCTGACGACGAGTGCTTCGAGCCCGACGCACACACACACACCAAGGGCGACTGTTGGCTCAAGTTTGCTGAACGTCCGCATGCGCCTGAAGTCAACCAGCGTGGCAAGATGAACCCCGAATACGCCGCCCGCCACAAGGACTTTGTCGCTACGCAGTGGATCTCTGGCGCCGTCATCCCCCGTGATACCAAGATGACAAATGGCGTCTTTGGTCCGCGCGCTGACTGGTAGCACCGCTCCGTCACGCCCACGCCCTTTTCACATGCTCTGCCAATTAGTGTGCACACGTCCTTGATTGACCAACCTCATCACACTACCTGCCACACGTTTGCAACCTACACTAACCCCAGACACACCCGCACCCATCACCACCACCACCACACACACCCTCCAATCCCTACCCCCCCCCTACCCCCACTCTTCTTCCCCTTCGCCTTCATCCTGGCTCCCAATCCCGGTAACCTCATCCCCAGACCCAACCAGACAAACTCGCTCTTCACTCCAACCAAAGTCGGCACCATCATACCACCATTACAGCCCTCGCCCCCCCCACACCCCACACTCCTCAACCGTACCCTCCCCACTCCACACCCCCACACCCCCACCCCCCACCCTGCCCCCTCCACCCCACCCCCCCCCACCCACCCCATACCACTCCTTGCACACAGGCACATACGTGCATACCTCCGTTCCGTTCCTCTTCCACGTGCTGGGGGAGAAAAACTCGGCTGTCGCCTCCACCACCACAGTATGAACGCATCGAGGAGCGGGCTGGTGCTTGTGTGGTTGCTGGTGTGGTTGCTGGTGTGGATGAACGGTGTCCACGGGCTACGTCCGAGGCTACGGGTATACACCTCCATTGATCCTCGCATTGGTACCTCGCCCGCGTTCGCCGCTCTCGTCAACGAGTACAACAGCCGCCCAGAAGGTGCCCAAGCAGACCTCATCTACGTCGCCTTCTCACCCGATGCCTCAAAGTACACCCCATGGCTACAAGCCTCGCGTGGTGCAGACGTTGTACCATCATACCTTGGTGGTGGTGGCCTCAATCTGCTGACTGGCGACAACTACTATCCTCTCGACCACGTGTGGGATGCGCTTGGCGTGTGGGACGACGTTGTGCCTGCTGCCATCGCCCGCTCGCGCGGCGCAGACGGCGCCATGTACGCTGTCCCTATCTCGGCCGAGCCTAACATGTGCATGTACTCGGTGCCAATCTTTGACGCGCTTGGCCTCTCGCCGCCGCGCACCCTCTCGGAGCTCAAGGCTGTGTGCGCCGCCGTGACCGCCGCCGGTATCGGCTGTCTCGCCGCTGACACGCCGCTCTTTCCCAACACTGCGTACTTTGACGAGCTTGCGCTGCGGATGCATGGCAACGCTTTCTACAAAAAGTTCTTCAACGGCCGCATCGCATTCACCGATCCGCGAGTCCGTGCCACCTTTGACGAGCTCGCCGATCTGATGACCGCCGGCTATCTTGGGGTGCCCAACCCACACGTCAACGGCACGGCCCCGTATTTGCCTCAGGACATGGCCCATGGCCACGTTGCCATGTTCTGCGGCTTTGAAGCCTTTACCATGTTTCCCATCCTCGCGGGCATGCCCTCCGCTGACATCGGTGCCTTTGTCTTTCCGGCCTACGATGGCGCTCGTGGCTCGGCGCCGCCAAACTCGATCCCGGGCGTTCTAATGACGCTCGTCACTCTTGCTGTCCCGCGCACCGCCCTTCACCCAGATGAGGCCATGGCATTTGTTGCCCACGCCGGGAACACGACCCACTATGCCGCTGCCTTCACCGCCGCAAGCGTCATGTCGGGCTTGCCGCTGCGACCCTCACTCTTTTCGCTCGTCACACACCCGCGCTCGGAAGTGGCCAAGGCCAAGCTCGCGGCTGCCTCGGACATCTTTGAGCGCTCGCTTGCTGGCTTTGGCGTCATTGATCTCGTCCTCGAGTACAGCGCCTTCTCCTTTGGCCTTGACGCCATGGCCAATCGATCCGCCACCGCTCTGGCCGCCCACTTTGACGCCGAGCTTCCGAGCCTGGAGGCCGTCCGCCTCGCGTCAATCCTCTCGCTTACCGTCGCACCGACAGCCTCGCATCCGTCTGGCACATACACCGACGAGCTTGCGGTTGTCCTCTCGAGCCTCACCCGCGGCGCCACTCTCTACTACACTCTTGATGGGACCAAGCCGACTACCGACGCCCTCGTTTTTGCCCAGCATATCTCGCTCTCCACTGACGGTGCCCACGAGATCCGCGCCATCGCGCACGCTCCTGGTCTACAGGTCTCGTCTGAACTTCGCCTCGGGTACACCCTTAAGCTCTCGCCACCTTCTCGGTCTGTGAGCATGTCGGCGGGTGCGCTCTCAACTGCGGCTGTTGTCGCCATCGCGCTCGCGGCCGCGTGCGTCTGCTCCGCCGTTGTTGCTGTCGTCGCCATCATCGTTCTCCGCCACCGGTCGGTCACCACCTTCCGCCTCCAGTCGGACGCCGAGCTGGTCATCCCAGCCGAGGACGTGAGCCTCGGGCCGGTGGTGGGTACCGGCTCATATGGCGTCGTCTACCGCGGCATGTGGCGCGGGACCCAGGTGGCTGTCAAGAGAACCCGTGCAGGCCCGCTGCAGGGCCGGCAGATGCGTGAGTTTGTCGACGAGGCGAGCATGCTCCTCCGCCTCCGTCACCCCAACATTGTGCTCTTCATGGGCATCCACCTCGATCCGCCGGCGATTGTGACCGAGTTTATGTCGCGCGGGAATCTCGCCGACGTCCTCGCCTCAGACGCATTCTTCCTCGACTCGTCTATTGTCCTCCGCTGGGCCCACCACATTGCCCTTGGCCTGCAGTATCTGGCACACGCCGGCGTCGTCCACGGCGATTTCAAGTCGCTCAACGTGCTCTTTGACGGAAACTGGGTACCCAAGATTGCCGACTTTGGCCTCGCCTCAATCAAGGCGCCAACCGGTCAGCCCTTGCCCGCGCTCTGCATGAACGCCGCCAACTCTTCTGCGCCTGCCACACCCGCCGGGCGCCCAGTCAATATCGACGCCTCGGACGGCGCTCAGGAGTTGGTCACAACCGGTATGTCGATCTCGCTCTTTGAATCGGGCGGCGCACACGACAGCCGCGCATCAGCGACCCGCACCCGCCGTAGGAACAAGGTCGGCCCGGTCCCAGAGCACTCGACCACGCCACGGCTCACGCCGCCTCAGTCGCCAATGACCACAGAGACGTCGGCCGCAGGCACCGGACCCAATGTCGGCTCCATTTTCTGGGCCGCGCCTGAGGTGCTTATCGGCGGCAGCACCGCGCTCACCACCGCGTCCGACATGTACGCGCTCGGCATCACACTATGGGAGCTGGCATCCCGCGCAGAGCTCTACCCGCAAGTCAACCCGCTGGCGCTTGCCCTCGACGTCATCCACGGCCGCCGGCCAGACATCCGCGCCGTTCCGCCGCAGCTCAGCCAGCTTCGCTCGCTCATTCAGGCGCTCTGGCATCACGACCCGGTGGCGCGGCCACTGCCGGCCCAGATTGTTTCGCGCCTCGCCTCGCTCTATGACCCAACTAACGTCATTCCGCCGTCGTCACCGGCCGCTCCGTCGGGCTCGGTTGTCCTCGTCCACGTCGTCGTCGCCAAACTCGGCTCGCGTCTCATTCTGGCCCCGGACGCCACCGCCCAGGCTCTGCGTCGATTCCACGCTAGGACGCGCGTGGTGGCGACCCAGGCCCACGGCGCCATCCTCTCGTGGACCCTTGAATCGGTCACTATCTCGCTGCAGGATCCGCGCCAGCTCGGCAACGTCATACAAGGCATACTCTCCATTTGTAAGCGTGTTGGCCCGCTGCTTGCCGTCGCTGCGCATGGTAGTATCACCTCGACCTCGGCGCTGCAGGTCTTCACCTCGACGGCTCAGGGTGCGGCGCCGTCGACTGCCGACGAGCTCGTCTTCCACGGCGCGGTCATGGACGAGCTGAAGGACGTATGGCAGGCCGCATTTGGCGGCTCGCTCCCGCCGTCGCTCCTCCGGCTCGAGCCGACCGACACAGACTCGGTGTCGTCGCTTTCACGTTGCGAGTCGACCAGTCCCGGCGGCCTAACCAGCCTCGAACCGGGCGTCTACATTGGGCCGTCGCTCTTTGACGACATGGCCATGCCCGGGCATGACCAGCTGCTTGTCGAGCCTGTGGCCGCCGATGCGGCCCTCCTCTTCCGCATTAAGCAAAAGCCCAAGCCGCGCGTAGATACGCGGACCAACGGTGATGTCGCCGGCCCGAGCGCACTGACTGAGTCAAGCAACGACGCCGACGAGGCGCTTGTGTCGGACGACGAGACCGCTCTTGCGTCCATCGACGACAACCTCGGAACTGTCCTCGCTGATGACATGAGCTCACACCCTGACGTGGGCCAGTCGTTCGCTGAAGTCGATGCAATCATCGGCCTCCCACACGACACGTCTTTCTCCGCCTCGCTGACGCACTCCATGTCAATGCGCCGCTCGCAGCCAGCAGGCCTCATGACGCTGTACTCAGCCCGGGACATCGCGGCGCTGATTGGCCAGGGCGGGAAGCGGGAGCTCGGCTCGTACGCCACCGTTTACTCGGCAACAACACCGCTTGGCCCTGTTGCCGTCAAGGTTCTGCTGAAGCAGCGGTTCGAGCCTGCGCAGCTCATCAGTGTTGCTGCCAGCACAGCCAAGGCCTCGCGCGCGGGAGGAGCACACTCGGCGCTCGCCGGGCCGGTCGGGCTTTGCGTCGAGAGCCCGTACATCGCTGTCGTCTTTGCACAGCTCAACCATCCGTCCATGACTGAGGCCGCGGGCTCAATGTCGTCGTTAGACAGACTGTGCCTGGTCAAATGCCTGCTTGTAGCGCTCGCGGCGCTGCACGCCGCCACCGGCGCCGGCCACGGTGCACTCTCGCCAAACAACGTCTTTGTCAAGCTCCGCACGGAACCGGCACTAACCCGGCCGCGAGTCGCCGCCGTGGCGCTCACCGACTTTGGCATGGACATCCTTCGCATGCACCTCGGAACGATGACCGCCATTCCCTCGGCAGCGTACACCGCACCTGAAACGCTGCGCGGCGAAGCTTCCCGCCCGGAGACCGACGTCTTTATCTTTGGCTCGCTCCTCTACGAGCTCTCCACTGGCCAGGCCGCCTTCCGCGGCGAAAACGCGCTCGAGGTCGGCTACCGGCTGCTCTCCGGCTGGCGGCCAGCTGTCGACCTGCTGCCCAACGGCGTGCGCGAGACTGTGGCCCGCTGCTGGGACACTGATCCGGCCCTCCGCCCTACCATCGCCGAGCTCCTTGACCTGGTCAACGCTGGCCAGCTCGGCAGCTTGTGAAGACATCCGTGTGTGGTCACGATACGACGACGCCGAGGAGTGCGGCCTTTACTCGCCATTGCTCAGCGCTTGTTCCACCGTGTAAACGTGATGCCTGCTGCCACCAGGAAGAGCGCCCATGAGCCAAGAAGTACAACGCCGTTGAGGCCCTCACGCCGGACAGAGTCATCGATCATGCGCTTGAGAATAATGGCATCAGTGTAGTTGGGCTCGCGCATCAGAACCTCGTCCACATACTTGCGCGCGCTCGAGTGCCGCTGCAGTCGGAACAGCCCTCTGGCAAGCCGCAGCAAGGACTCCGAGTCCATGCTCTCCATGCCCATCGCGTCCTCCATGCCTGCTCCTCCCACCATGAGTCTTGTCTCTCTCTCCGCGCACACGCACACGCACGCGCACATCACACATACACACACACACACACACACACACACGCGCGCGCACACACACGCACAGCCCCACGCACATGCGCACACACACAGCCCCTCCATAACACCTCTCGTCACATAGCCCCCCACCCCCAGCCCCACTTCGCCTGCGGCCATCAGGGCGTGCGGCAGCAACGCGTCAACGCAGCAGCAAGACCAAGCAAGCCGGGCGGGCAGAAAAGAAGGCAGCAACCCGCAGCAGCACCATGATTCTTCCGTACCCTGGAGAATGTCGACACCCCGTTCCAGATCCTCTGCACAGGTAGAGGCAATGAGCCTATGGGCAAAGTTGGTGGCTACTCCGAGCGAGACCGTACCGCCGGACTCCACCTGCGCCTCGTAGTCCTCTTCCAGACGCTGCATGGGACGGGGGATGGAGATGGGGATGGAGAAGGGTGAGCGGGAGCAAGGAGCAGTGAAGGTGGAGAATAAGGGACAAGGGAGGGGGAAGAGGGGAGGGGAGGGGAGGGGGAGGGGAGGGGGGAAGGGATTGACCTACGCCAAGCTCCTTCTCGAGCGTTGCCTCGTACTCGGGCTCGGACATGTTGGCGCCAAGTCGAGTCGGATGTCCCCTGACCCTGACCCGACTTCCCAGGCCGACCGACCAACCACCGCCCACCACCGGCCACCACCCATCGACCGACCACCTGCCACAGACCCCGTGACCGCACGACCACCGCTCGCCACCCCCCCACGCAAAGGCACACACACACACTCACTCACACTCACACTCACACACGTACACACACACACACACCACACGTACACATACCCCACGCACATACATACACGCATGCATTGGCGTCACGGGGTATGTCTGCTGGTTCTTCTGGCGGTGTGCGCATCGGCGTGCTTCGGGCTCACGCCCACGTCTGTCTTCGGCGGTGTCTCCGAGTCTCCGGCTTGGCTGACGGCGAGTGGAGGCTGTAGCAATGGAGGCTTGCCGGGTGATGTGGTGGCCATGGCCGGTCGCTTCAACGGATCGCTGGCTCTGGCGCAGGATGTGGTCGTCACTGCTCCTGCTGGCTCGGTTCATGCCTTTCTGGCCGCTGTCATTGTGGCAAACGGAGAGCTGACGCCGTTCTGGTCTCGCGTTCTTCCTGTCGGGCTGGACATCATCGATGTGACATGCCTTGCTCCGGCTACTGTTGCTCGGCTCTCATGGGCTCCCTCTTCGCTCTCCTGGTCGCTTGCTCTCCACACCACAAACGGATCGGTGGCGTGGACGACCGAGATCGGCCGCTCGCAGGCCCCCGGTGCGCCGGTCTCGCCGCGAGTGGTCGGCCGTGTGGCGAGCCAGTTTGTGAACGGCGTTGATGTGCTGGTGGTTGCTGCTACCGTGGCTCACTCACCGTACAATGGCTCGTCTGGAGTCGTCGGCCTCTCGTCGGTCGACGGCTCGGAGCTGTGGCAGGCTGGCCTCGTCGCCGACAACGCCGGCGACGCCCGCCTGGTTGTCGAGAGCATTGTCGCGGCGCCCGGCGGCGTGACTGTCTACGTTGCCGGATTGCTTTCCGGCTGCGGGCGCTGGGTTGTGGCCGGTGGGCCCAGTGCCGGGCCTCTGGTCTGCTCGAACCCGGCAACAGCCTCGGTCGTTGTGGTCGCCGAGCTCTCTGCCGAGACCGGCGCGTGGATCAGCCACGCGCTTGCGCCGTACTCGCTGCTGCGGACGCCCTCGCTGCCACATGTGGCGCTGGCTGTTGAGCCCGAGTCCGGCAACGTCGCCGTCGGCTCGGCCATCCTTGACGACGGCGACGGTGTTGGCGCCTCGGTTCTCATGTACCCACCGTCGCTCGGCTCGACGCCGCTGTGGTCAAGCGTCTACCCGCGAGCAGAGGCCCAGGGCGTAGCCGCACTCTTCGCACCACTCAACACCTGGTCGCTCCTTGTCCTCACCGGCCTCGCCGGCGAGAACGAAGCCGAGGCGCTCTACGCGCCAGCCGTCATACTCGAGCTCTCATCCGCGTCGGGCGACGTTCTCCGCCACGCCGTGCTCGATGGCACGCTTGTCGGCTCCCGCGCTGACCTGGTCGGCCTCCCCAAGTCACACGCTGGCGCGCAGGGCGTGCTCGTTGCCGGCAGCTATGCACACGGCCCGCTCACCGTCGCCGGGCCGACGAGCAATGTGACAGCGCCAGCGCCGCGCGGCGGAACCGCGCCCTTTGCTGTCCAGATTGATGTCGACCAGCACGCGCCGGCGCCGCCGCCGCCTGCTCCGGCCATCCCGATTGCGCCCATCACCCGCCACCGGACTCCGCCAGCGCTGTGGCTGGTTGGCCTCGGCGTGGGAATCATCGTTGTGCTCGGCGCCTGCGTCGGCTTTGGTCTTCGTCGCTACTACCACTCGGACGCGTACATGCTGCGCAAGGTCCGATCCGGTGACTACGCCTCGGTCCGGTACCAGGGCGTCGAGACGCCCACGCTCTCGGGCACCCGCCCGTCGCTGGCCGCTGCCGACGGCCGCGGCCGCGGCGGCTACGACTCGATCCCGTCGCCGTAAAAGCACATGCATGCACACGTGGCGTTTACTGTAGCCAAGCGACTTTGCCTCAGCACGACGTAGTGACGGTGACGGCGACAGAAGCCTCGGCCCACGGCCCGCCAGACGCGTCGTTAACCCGCGCCACCACGGTGTCCGAGCCCGAGGCGAGCAGGAGCGTCGAGTACGAGAGCGAGCCGAGCGCGGCATTGAGCGCCGTCGCGGAGCCCTCCACCATCAGCGCAGTGTCTCCGGCGCACGAGCCAACCCGGCAAATGAGCCCGGTCAGCGAGCCGAGAGTGAGCAGGCCCGAGTCGGCCTGCAGGACGAGGCTCAGCGTCTCGCCGTCGGGCTCGGCCACAGAGAGGCCCGGAATGGCCGTCGCCCCGCCGCCGGCTGCCACCGCCGCCACAGACGCCAGCACCGCCGGCGGATCGTCGACCGCGCTCACGTCGACCGTCACCGTCGCCGGTGCCGACACAGCTTCCGAATCGTCCATGGTGTACGCGAACGAGGCGAGGCCCACGCCAGACGCGTTGGCCGCCGGCACGTACCACACCCGGTTGTACGCCGAGGTGACCACCGTAGGGACGGTCGTGATTGCTCCCGCCACCGCTGGCCCGCCGGCCTCGCTCGACTGGTACAGCGCGCCCGAGAGTGGCAGCGTAGTGATCCGCGCGGTGAAGACCGAGTCGTACGGATCCGAAGCGTTGAGCTGGACCAAGACCGCCGTATCCTCGAGCGTGGCCACCGTGTGCGCCAGCGCCACCGGAACATGGTTGTACTCGCCGGCGCGGTAGTTGGTCTGCACCTCGCTGGGCGTCAGCGGCGCCGCATACAGCGCGACCGAGTAAAGCTTGCCGGTCCACAGGTCGTAGTCCGAGGAAGAGACCCGGCCTCCAAGCGCCAGCCAGCGCGAGTTGGGCCCAGTCACCCATGACGCCGAAATGGTGGTCGCCGCGCCGCTCACCGACGCACCGCACGCAACCGACACCCCGTTGATGTACAGGTCCATAACCGACGGGGAGGTGCCGTCAGAGACCACGGCGACGGCGTGGTACAGCTCGCCGGCCACAAGAGTGCCGGCTGCCGACGCGCACGTCCGACACGTGTCTACCGAGCTGATCTTGTCCGACAGTGACCACTCGAGCACATCGCCGCGCTGGGCCACCGCAAACGACCGCAGCGTCGTCGCACCCGACGAGCACCCGGGCTCGAGGTCGCCGGCTGCAAGCGCCACGTCGAGCAGCGGCGCGTGTAGCGACGTGTTATGGACGCGGAACCAGAGATCGATGGAAAACCCGCGCTGTGAGGCAAAGCTCGCATCCGCCAGCGAGCTGATGGCGAGCTTGTCGCTCACTCCGGGCGCGCCACACGTCCCGCACCCAGGCGCGATGGCCACGCCCGCCGGCTCGTACCCGCCCGCCGGTGCCAGCGACGAGAGCCATGTCACGTGCTTTAGCTCCAGTGCCACGTCCACCGCAGACGGCTTGCCACCTACCGGCGCCACGTCGGCTGCACTCGCTGCGGGTGTTTCCGAGAATGGGATCCATATCGCCAGGCCGGAGCTCACCCGCGCGCCTGCCGTCGCCGCCACGGGTTCGCCGCCGAGGAAGACCACCGCCGCCGCCACGGCGACAGCCAGCACAACCACGAGGCGGATGTGCATGCCAGAGGTAGATATGGGAGGGGGAGGGGGGGGGGGAGGGAGGGTGAGGTGTGCCTTCTCCCCCTCCCACACTCTGTCGCACGCGCCCTTCCCTTGCAGGCGCTGGCGGCGTGAGTCGAGCGGCGGCCGGCGGCAGGAACAGCAAAGGTTGAGGAAGGAAAAGGAGGAGGAGCGGGGGGGGGAGGGGCGGGGGGGGGGGGGGGAACGAAAGCAAGGCACCCGAGAGATAATCGTTGGCGAACGATTAATCCCCTCTCCCCCCCTCCCCAACAACAACAACAACAATCGTTGGCTATTGATAATGGGATTCGGTTCATTGGCACTGTGTGCAATGGATTCGATTCGAAGGCATAGTGGGAATTGAGGACAGGATCAATACAACAAAGTGACGAATGGTCGAATGGTGGCCAGCCGTCCATCAGTCACACACACTTTACTCGAACTCTCAACATGGGCAAGGGGTACGTAGACACCACAGCCAGAAGGCTCACCACAGGGACTCGTAGCCAGACACTATCCTGTGCATCTCCTTTCCATCCTCCCCCCCTTCCCCCCATCACCTCCTCCCCTATGCTGCACCAGCTGAAGTGCCTCCCGCCAGTACCCTCGGCCGATGCCGTATTTTTGGCAGAATTTGTATGACTCGCCCTGGGCCCAGCATGGCCACCGCTGCCGCTCGCCACGGGACACACCCACGCAAGCCACTGCCCTAGCGACATGCCGAGAATGTGCACTCTCTACAGCACTTGTCCGCTGTGCGTAGAACGTCCCCATGCCCCGACTCTGGACTCACCCCCCCCCCCCTCCGCCGACATCCAACCGACGACGACAACAGCAAGCCTCGTGGAATCAACACGGCACGCGCGCTGCGCACCCGTCGTCGTGAGCAGAAGTGGAACGACAAGGAGTACAAGAAGAAGCACTTTGGCACGGCCCGCAAGGCCAACCCGCTCGGTGGTGCGTCGCACGCCAAGGGCATTGTCATCGAGAAGATGGGCATTGAGTCCAAGCAGCCGAACTCGGCCATTCGCAAGTGCGTCCGTGTCCAGCTCGTCAAGAACGCCAAGCGTATCTCCGCCTTTGTGCCGCGTGATGGTTGCCTCGGCTACATCGACGAGAACGACGAGGTTCTTGTTGCCGGTCAGGGTCGCCATGGCCACGCAGTCGGTGATATCCCCGGTGTCCGCTTCAAGGTCGTCAAGGTCTCGAACGTCGGCCTGTACGCCCTCTTCCGCGAGATCAAGGAGAAGCCGCGCTCGTAAACCACTCTCCACGTGACACACACACACTCTCTCTCTCTTCCTCTATGTCTTTCCCCCTCTTCTCACCTCGGCCGGCCCCAGTGCTTTCACTTGCGCGCAGACCGCCGCTTCTTCGGCCTCTCGTCCGACGATTCGCTCGCGGCCTCATACTCGGACTCACCACTGCTGCCACCAGACGCGGAGAGGCCCGAGCCCGAGCCGCCGACGTTACCGCGCGGCGACCGACGAGGCGATGCTCGCGAAAAGTACGCCGTGATCGGCTTGGTCGGTGTGTTGGGGTCTGGGCCCTTCACCTTTTTGCGCCGCCGGCCCTTCTTCCGCTTCTTGCCGCGGGCCTTGCTCTCCGCTGAGCCTTCGTTCCCACCGCTGCCGCTCTCTCCGCCGGCAGCAGCCGCCACTCCAAACTCGATCGGGAACAGCTCCTTGGCCGGCGTCTTCTTGCTCGTAGGAGCAGCCGCCTCAGGCTGGACTGCCTCGTCATCCACCTGCTTGATCATCTTGGCCTTGCACGTGCTCTTGGCCGCAGCGCTGGCACTGGTCTTGGCGGAAGAACTCGTCTTGCTCCTGCGCCTGCTCTTGCTCTCGATCTCACTCTTCCTCTCGGCATGCGACTGCGGCCGCACCGTCGGCGACGAGACCAGGCCCTTGGCCGCGTTCTCGTCGCGTGCCTGCTGAAGCAGGTCAGCTAGCTCGTACGAGTACCGGTCCGAGTACGAGCAAAACTCGTCAAAGACCGAGGTGTAATACGAGTAGAACGAGTCGTACTCGACCTCGCCGCCGTCATCGTCGTCATCATCGTCGTCGCCACCGCCGCCACCATCACCGCTGGCCGCCCCGCTCGCCTCGCCGTCCGACGCCACCATCACGTCTGACGAGCCAACAGACGTCACCGTATCGTACTGCGAGTACAGGGTGGTGATCGAGCCCGAGAGCAGGCCCGACGACGACGATGCGTACGAGTACCCGTCGCCATCGCCGTGTCCAGGAAGGCCAAACCTCGCCCCACTACCGGCATCGTCGTCGTCTTCCTCCTCCGAGTACACGTAGCCATCGTCGTCGTCGCTGCCGGCCCCGGTCGCCGCCGCTGTTCGCACAAAGTACTTGTCGCCGCGCTTGACGACCACTGTCTCGGGCGGCTGGCAAGACGCCGATGCCACAACCTCAACGTCGGCTCCGCCGCGCCCAGCCGTCTCGTCTGCCACAGTCATCGGCGCGACGCCCGAGCCCGAGCCCGACTCGTCATCCACCACAGCCGACGCCGCAGCTGCCTCGGCCGCGGACACCGGCCGGGTCCGCGCCATTCGCGCTGCGCGAGCACGCACCCGCTCGCGCTGCATCGCCCGCGACACACGCCGCCGCGACGCAATGTGCCGCTCAGAGTGCCGCGTCGCCAGCATCCGCTCCGACCGTAGTGTCTTGCCCACTGCAGTCTTGCCAAACGTGTGCCCGCGGGCCCGCAGCCGCCTCGCCGGGCTCCCGTCACCGCGGGCGCGGACCAGCTTGGGCGGCAGGTACGACGTGATCCGCACCGCTGCCGACGTGTGGTACCGCCCGGCCGCAAGGCTCTTGGGCGGCGCCGACGTGTAGCTCTCCTCGCGCGCAGCGAACGCTCGGTGCATGAGCGAGGCCGACTTGCGGACCCGCGGCTTGCGGGTCCGCGCCCGCGGCGACGCCTCGGCCTTGCCGGCCTTCACCACCCCAAGCGGGAGCGACGCGCCACCAAGCGCTCGCGGCTTGCGACGCGCCAGCCGCGCCGGCGCTTTGAACCGTTTCCGCCGCTCGCGACGGAGCTTTCCCATCACCCCGCGCACAATGGTGCCGTGCCCGAGAGGCTTGCCTGCCAGCAGCGAGCCATCGGCATCAAAAATGAGCGCTTCGGGCAGCGAGCGGAGAACGAGGCTCTTGGTCACCGCCACGTACCGCATCGGCGCAGGCGCAGGTGTGGGCGCAGGCGCAGGCGGTGGTGCCGTCGCTGACACCGCCTTCCTCACGCCAGCCGCATCCTCGTCGACCTCTCGCCGGACACGGACCTTGTCAGACCGCCGCCGCGCCACGTACCGCTCGCGCTTGACCACCCGCTTGACCTGCCGGTACTTGCGCGGCCGCCCACGCTTGCGCGGCACCGGCACCTCAGGCACCATTTCGCGGGTGGTCACTCGCTCACGCCGCCGGACTCGCTTCATCGACCGGCCCGACGACGTCGGCACCTCACCGCTCTCTTCAAACTCCTCCACCATTCCCGGGCCGGTCTCGGGCACCAGCTTAGCGCCCGGCGGCGTCGACGGCGTCGCCGACGCGTACCGCGGCATCGCCTTGGACCGGCTCCGCCGCCGGTCCGGAGACAACGTCGCTGTCCCGGTCTTGCGCCGCGCCGCACGGCCAGACCGCGCCGTCGTCGCTCCCGCGCCACCACTCGCGCCGCTGCCGCCGCTGCCGCCGCTCGCGGACACGGACCCGCTCGCAGTCTCAGCCTTGACCACGCCGCTGGCGACAGCTTGTTCAGCGGCTCCTACCGTTGCCGCCCGTCTCGCCGCACGGGCGCGATCCTTCCGCCGCTGCGCTCGGTTGCGGCGACGGACACGGACCCGAGTCCGCGAGCCGCCAGGCTTGGGCGGTGGCCCACGCTTGGCCCGCACCGTAACCTTGGCCGCCCGCCGCGCTTCGACTGCCTCGCGCTTGGCACGACGCTCGGCGCGTCGCTTCTTCTCGGCGGCATCCATGCCGGCTCGGCGCGACTGGATGCGCTCCATCTCGCGGCGCAAGTCGTCGCGGGCCATGGCAACCGGATGCTCCGGGACCCGGGCGAGGGGCATGGCCGGCTTGACGGTCGACGCGTCCTTGAGCACTGCCTCTGACGGCCCGCGCCCGCGCACTCCGATGCGGACCACCAGCGGGTCGGCCTCGTCGCTCGCGCCACCGTCGCCGTCAGTCGACGCCAGGCCCGCGAGGTACGACGAGTACCCGTCCGAGCCTGCCGAGCTCGTCGCCGAGATCTCATCTAGGCTCACCCCCGAGCCCGAGTACGTGTACGTGTACGAGTCGCCGCCGTCGTCCGAGCCAGCGCCGCGGGCGTTGGTGGTCGCCTCGAGATTGGTGTTGCGGGCCTCGCTCGGTGGTGCCACCAGAGCCGCGGCCTGGATCGGATGCCGCGGGCGAACAACCGACTCACGGACTGTGAGGTCCGCAGCAATCTCCTCGCGATAGAGCGTGACCTCTTCGGCGACGAGGTCAGAGAGCACGCCGCGGATCGCCACAGCGCGCACTGCCTGCCGCGAGTCTGCCGGCCAGTACGACACTGCCGCCGAGGTCACAAGCGTGACGTCGTTGACAAAGGCCTGCAACGTCGGGTACGCCAGCGCCTCCACTTTCTCCGAGAGCAGGCCCCAGGTCATTGGCTGGACAACGAGTGCCGACGGCGCGGCGGCGGCAAGCTCGATGCCCGGGCTCGCCTCAAAAAACCCGTCCGGGTCGAGCGCCCGCAGCCGGCTCACCAGCCGCTCCTGGATAATGGCTGTGGGGACGTGCGAGACGCGGACCATGGTCCGCAGCGTCCGCACGAGGTTGCGCTTCACCTTTTCCCGCTTCGATACCAGGTGCGCGAGCAGCCGGGCCCGCTCGAGATCGTGCCGCAGATACAGAAGCGAGTCGACGTGCTCGGCGACAATCGGGTGCGGCTTCCACATGGTGCTTTGGAACCGGCGGATGAACGGGAGCGTGCGGTCGGCGCGCTTGGCCTTCCAGTGGCCGAGCACGTCGCGGACAAGGCCAGCCGGCAGGTTGGGCAGCCGCGCCGCCGCCCGCGGTAGTGTGATCGACGCCTCCAGCGTCTCCTTGAAGCTCTTGGCCACCTTGAGCTTGGTCGGCTTGCGCGACGCCGCGAGGCGGTACTTGTTCACCGTCGCGTCCGACGGCGTGTGCTTCTCGCAGTATACCGCATACACAATACGGTGCCAGCGGTCTTCCTGGACCCGCATGAACAGGCCGTGCTTCTGGGCACAGGTGACGTGAAAGGCGATGGCGCACGACGGTGTGCGGCACTGGATGCACGCCCCGGCGCGACGGGTCTTGCACAGGTAGCACCGCAGCTTGTACCGCGCCTCGGGCACGTCGTCGAGGCCGACAATCGGCTCCATGGCGAGCGTGTCCGCAAACGAGGTCTCGGGAATCCACATGGCGCATGCCACATGTGCCCACTCGCCCTGTGCTGTCGGCTTGTACGCCCCGCCGGTGTTGGGGCAGAGGACGCACGGGACCGAGTCGAGCGGCGCGCCCTCGGAGCAGGTGGCGCAGAGATACTTGCCTTCAGGAATGTTGAGAATGCCGTAGCAGGCCTGATGGACCGGCGTGTTGCACCCGTCGCAAAACACAATCTCGTTGGTATCCTCGCACTCGCCGTCCATGCACACATCGCACACGCCGCCGGCCTCCTCGTCGGCATCGTCGGTGCCGAGCGACGCCGCCGTAACCGACTCAAGCGTGTAAAACGCCTCCTTCTCCAGCTTGTCCATGGCAGCCTCGACAGTGTCGGGCGAGACCGGCGGGAGCCCAGACGCCGTCCGCAACGCATTGAGCGCCTCGACAAACGCCATGTCGCTCCCATCGAGATCATACTCGACCTTGAGATCCAAATCTGCCGGCCGCGGCGAGACGTAGTGCACATACGGTGCATCAAACGGCGACGGATCGAGCTCAGTCTTTGAAATGTGCGCCGTCGACGCCGTCGCCGCCGGCGGGTTCACCCCTCGCCCGTCGTCAGCTTCCGGAACGACGGCTGCGGCGGAACCGGGACCGCGGCTCCTCCCCCGCCTCGCCATGCCCACCACCACCGCCACCCCCTCCTCCTCCTCCTCCTGTCCCGCTGCTCGAGCTGCCGGCTCCGCTCCCTACCGGCCCGGCACTGCCACTCTGTCCGCTAGCCGTGGATGCTGTCGCCGAACTTGCACCGCCACCGGCAGCTGGAGCCGGAGCCAGCGGCAAAGACGTCACGCACATCAGCTCCTCGACCTCCATGGAGAACGGAGGCTCAATGGGGTAGATGTTCGGTATGTCAGCATTGGTCGGCGCAGTTGGAAATGTTTGCACCGACAAACGCCGCGTCGTCCGCATGGGAAGGAATTCTCTTTCCCCAGCCAGTGCAGGAGGAGCGGTTGGCTCCCTCGCTGCTACCGCTACCGCCGGCCGACCAGCCGACCAGCCGACCAGCCGACCAGCCGATCAGCCGACCAGCCGACCAGCCGACCCAGTTTTCGCCACTTTTTTTCACTTGCTTTCCATCACGAGCACCGACGGTTGTTGGCTGGCGAGGTTCCGGCGGGCTTGGTTCCGGCGGGCTTGGTTCCGGCGGGCTTGGTTCCGGGGCGGCGATGGGAGGGAAGAGGGGTAAAGGTGGAGGAGGTACAGCGGTCGAGGTGCGGTCGCGGAATCAGGCTTAGGGTGAAAGATAGGGACGATGTGAGGGGATTGGTCAGCCGCGCGGGTGCGTCGCTGACGGTTTGCGCTCACTACTCGATGCGCGTGAGCTAGTATCGCTCTACAGATCGCAACACTGCGCCCCGGCAATACCTCTCTTCATCACGCACTCCTCCAGCCGCGACTCCAGCTACCTCCCTGTACTACTGCCCGGCTGCCCCGCCGGCTACCAGCCGAGTTCCGATCGCCGCTTCGCTGCAAGAGCACGGACCCCGCAACGCGCGGTTGTTTGGCGCAAATGAACTCCATTCGGCAACATCCTCCCATCCATCACACACTCGTCGTAGCACCACCTCCTGCCGACCATGAGCGCCACGTCAGCCGACGTAGTGGAGGTGGAGAGCTCAGCACATATCCAACTCGCTTTCTGTGAGCCACTGGCTCACCCTGATCTCGTCACCCGTGGGTTCTTTCCCCATAAGGTCGGCGGCGCTCCGGCGTGGCTCGACCCGGCCGCCACGCCTGCTGCCGATGCGCTCTGCTGCGGCAACTGCGGGAAGAAGATGGCGTTCATGCTGCAGATCTATGCCCCTCGCCGCAACGTTGCCGCCGCCTTTCATCGCGCCCTGTATGTCTTTGCCTGCAAGGCCGGAGGATGCAACGATGCGCCCGGCGCCCAGGCTGTGGTCCGGAGCCAGCTCCCACTGGCCAACCCGTACTACGTGGCGGACATGGCTGATGCCCGCGATGGGCCCGAGGGCGAGTTGAACGCTGCTGTGCTGACGCCTGACGAGCTCGAGGGCAAAGTCTGTCTCATCTGCCGCGCTGTCCCGGCCAAGCGCTGCGGCAAGTGCTCCGCCGTCGCCTACTGCGGCCGCCATCACCAAGCCGACGACTGGGCCCGCGGCCACGCCGCCGAGTGCGGTACGCTGGCCGGCGCAAGCTCATCCGCCGCAGATGGTGGCCACATTGTCGTCGCCGAGCGCTCAGGTGTCTCGCCGTTTGTCTTTCCCGAACACGAGCTTGTCATGGAGGCCGAAGAGGACGTCGCCGCCGACGCCGCCGTCGACGAGCCGTCGGACGATCTGGTTGCGGCTACCACGTCGGCCATTCGTCCGCGCGATGTCGAGAAGCGCCAACACCTCGAGCGCCTCATCGCCGAGTATGAAAAGGAAGAGGCCCGGGCCCGCAAGCGTGGCGAGCCAGCTCCGCTCGACAATGATGCTGGCGACGACGGCGCTGAGCCGGCGCCCAACTCGGTCGAGGCTGCCATCGCAGACCTTGTGGGCCACCAGGACTTTGTCTACAACGCCTTCAAGGACCGCACCTCTATCGCCCCCGACCAGGTCCTCCGCTACTTTGTCGACGACGCCGACGAGCCCTCGCCGGCCCTCGCCGCCGACCGCGAGCCGCTGCCCGTCTCTGGCGACGATCCGCTGCCCGTTCCCGAGGACGTCCCGCCATGCGGCGCCTGCGGCGCTCCGCGTGTCTTTGAGTTCCAGATCCTCCCACAACTTCTCTTCTACCTCCTCCACCCAGACCTTGAGGCCGGAGACGGCTTTATCGACTTTGCCAACATTGTCGTCTACACCTGCTCCGCCCACTGTTCGCCATACGCCTCTATCGACGCTTCCCACGCCACCCTTACCGCTGCCGACTCCCACAACGGCGCCTATCTTGTCGAGCACGTCGTCCGCCAGAGGTTCCGCACATGATCCGGCCCTCCGCTATCATCTCCTTCCCCCCCCCCCCCCCCGATTGAATTGTAGGCGCCCATCTCCGCCGAGCAGCCGGCCCAATCTGGCGCGCGCCACACACACTCAACTTGGCGCCACCTGCCCCCCCCCCCACCCCACCCACGACACCCACCACCACCACCACACACACCACCACCACACACACCACGACCACCACACGCACAGGTCCATGGCCCACTCTGCCATCCGCACCTACTGCCGCATCCGGCCATCACCCGGGCGAGCCAGCAGTCTCTACTCTGTCGACGCCCTCGACAAGCGCCTCCGTGTCGCCGTCCCGCGGGTGGCTGACCCTTCTGCGCCACAGAACCTCCGAGAGACGTACGAGTTTGGCTTTACCGACATCCTGGACGCAGATACCAAGCAAGATGAAGTGTTTGAAAAGGTGGCGGCCAAGTCTGTCAAGCATGTGCTCGAGGGCTACAACGCTACCTTGTTTGCCTACGGTCAGACTGGCTCGGGCAAGACCTACACCATGACCGGAGGGCCAGAGTCGTACGCTGCCCGTGGCATCATTCCGCGCGCCCTCTCGCTCCTCTTTGACTCGTTTGCCGACGATCCTACCACACACTACTCGGCCCACATCTCGTACTTGGAGATCTACAACAACACCGGGTACGATCTGCTCAATCCCACCCGCGAGTCGACCTCGCTGGAGGATCTGCCGCAGGTCGTGGTCCAAGAGGCCGAGAACGGCGCCATTCTCCTCCGCAACCTCTCGGCTCATCAGGCCAACTCAGAGGAGGAGGCGCTCAACCTGCTATTTCTCGGCGACACCACCCGCATGATCGCAGAAACCCCGCTCAATGACGCCTCGTCACGCTCGCACTGTATCTTCACCGTCGCCGTCACCGCCTCCAAAGACGGCGAGGACACCGTCCGCGCCTCAAAGCTCCACCTGGTTGATCTTGCCGGTTCCGAGCGCGTCGGCCGCACCGGCGTCCAGGGCCAGCTCCTCACCGAGGCCAAGTACATCAACGTCTCGCTCCATCACCTCGAGCTCGTTATCATGGCCCTCCGCGAGCGCGCTACAAAGGGCCGCAACCACATCCCCTATCGCAACTCGATGATGACCACCGTTCTCCGCGACTCGCTTGGCGGCAACTGCATGACTGTCATGATTGCCACCCTCAACTTTGACGAGCCGTGCCTCCTCGAGTCAATCTCCACCTGCCGCTTCGCCTCGCGCGTCGCGCAAATCACAAACACCGTCCGCATCAACGAGGAGCTCAACCCAGACGTCATCATCAAGCGCCTCAAGGCCGAGGTCCGCCACCTCAAGGAGGAGCTTGCTCTCGCCACAGGCCGTGATGCCGACCGCGGGCCCATCACAGACTCGGAGCGTGCCCGCGTCGCCGCTGCTGTCCGCGCCTACATTGCAGACACCTCGCCTGACGCCGCCCTTCCCTTTGTCGAAATGATCCTCATCCGCGAAGCCTACGCCGTCTTCAAGTCGCTGGCCCTCCAGCCCGGCGCGGGTGCTCTTCCATCGGCAAGCCCTGCGCCGAGCAGCGCCCCGCACGACGCCCACCTCGCCGCCAAGTACCGCAAACTCAAGGGCGTGCTCAAGCAGCGTGACGCCGAGATCGAGATCCTTATGGGCATGGTCGAAAAGGCCAAAGCAGAGCCTGTCCTCGCCTCGGCCGCCCGATCTTCGGCAGAGGCCACCACCCAGACCCCGGCTCTCGGGTACTACAACTCGCGCTCTGCCGTCACCTCGGGTCCTTCGCCGCCGTCCGCCGCCGCCCACCCCGCCACCACCAAGGCCGACGCCGAAAATTCCGCCCCGGTGCAAGCCGTGCGCGTCGACCTCCCTTCCAGCGAGCCTGAGCCTGAGCCAAGCTCCGAGCCGGCCCTGCCCTCACGCGACGAGGCCTTTGAGGCGTTTAAGGCCTCGTATGCTAACACCGAGTGGCTCGCCTCCAACCAAGAGCTGCTCAAGGACAAGTACGCCGAGGCCAAGGCGCTCGGCGAAGAGGTTAACGCCTCGCGCCAGTCCATCAACGGTGTGAAGGCCATGATCGAGCAGCTCCGAGTCGAGCGCGCTATGCAGGGCATCCTCGACGACGACGTCCACCCCGACGCGCCCAACACTTCGGCGCCCGACTCGGAGGAGGCTCGCCTCAAGGTCGCCGTCGAGAAGGAAAAGGCAAAGTACAAGCGCGCGTTCTACAAGCTCAAGGATCTCCGCCGCGAGATCGAGCACCTTCAGCTGCTGATGGAGAAGAACCGCGTCAAGATGTCGCAGGACTTTGAAGTCTACTACCTTACCCTCGCCACCCGCGCCCAGGCCGCCTCGCATCCCGCCTCGCCGTCGCAAGCCTCGCGGGCCTCGCCCACTCCCCCGCCCACCTCGCCGCTCCCGCTCACCGGCAACAAGGAGGCCGATGATGAGATCCTGCGCTACCAGGCCGCCCGGGAGAAGCTGCTCCGCGCCCAAGGCAAGCTCCCGCGCGCATAGTGCCTGTCCACCTCTTTATTGCTTTACATCCTCAACGATGCTGGACCAACGAGAGGAACGTGTTCCACCCCACAGAGACAAAGACAGAGACAATGAACCGGTATTGCATCGGCACAATCCACCAGTTGAGCGTCATGACCGGTCCCCAGAGCTTAGCCGACGACGCCCAAGTGTTCAGCAGCTCGGCATCAAGCTTGGCCACCACTCGATCGCTGAGCGCAGCCTTGCCGGCACGCTCCTCCTCGCTTTCCAGCATGTACTCGACTGTTGTGACATAGCTGAAAAAGACCGTGTTTGCCACTGGCGCCGCAATCAGCGCGGTCAGTCCAGACTTGAGCGCCGCCGCAGCAACAACCGGCCGCGTAAACGTCACCGTCTTGTCCATGATCTTGTACCACGGCAGCCAAATGCCAGCGTACAGCGTCGCGCCCCACGATGTCATCACCGCCGTCCGCGTCCAATCCAGCTCCATCGTCGCCATCTTGTCCGCAACCATCGCCCACCGCCCACCGCCTGCCCCGCCCATTCCGCCGTTCACGGCCTCCACAGCCTCCACAACCTGCATCCCAGCGAGCTTGGCCTCCACACCCGTCGCGCACGTCGCACCGGTCGCGCCCATCGCGTCGTTGCAGCTGCCATCGCCGCCATCGCCGTTCCCGTGGCTCTTTCTCTTCACGCCCCGAAAGTGCTCCACATGCTGCGCCAGCACATCGCCCAGAAAGGTAGCCACTCCAGCCGTAGCCAGATTTGTCTTGAACGGATGCGCCGCCAGCGCAGCATTGTACGCCACCAGCGCCCGTCGTCCGAGCCTCAGCATGATCACACACACACACAAACACACACACACAGAGCTCACCGCTCACTCAGCTGCCACAACAAGCGACAGCAAGCCACAGCTCAATCAAAGCCCACGACACAGACAGTGCCAGGAACGTCTCTCTCTGCCCACTCTTGCGCACGCGCTGCTTGCTCGCTCGCCTCTTGTCGGTCGACAAGTGTGGTCTTTTGCCTTTGTCTCGACCTCGCCCTTTGCCTCGCGCGCGCTCTACTCGCCGCACTGGCTGGATGGGCGCCGAGGCGGCCACGGTGCGCCGGGGCCAACGGATCGAGGTTGTACAATTTTATGTCCTGCACCCCCCAACAGCCCCCCACACACACACACACATACGCACACACGCATAAAGCCTCTCTCCCATCAACTGTCTCGGTCGTCGTAGATGGCTGCCAGGAGCGCATCGTACACATCGTGGTAGGAGGAGAGCATGTCGACCGGGACGTCAAGGGTGCGAACAACTCGGCGAGCGGCAAATACCGAGCCATCTGCAGGTGCGAGAACAACGGCTACGCTGCCAGGATCGGCAGAGTCGTCGATGACGCAGGTCCCGAGGACAAAGTGGAGGAACCGGGCCTGGTCGAGCGGCGCAAAGGCGTCAACAGCGTCCCAAACCCAGGCCGCCACCTCACTCCCACTGCTCAGTCGCTCCGGCGCTGCATACACTGCCGCACTCTGCAACCGGCGCACTTCCACCCGCGGGAGACCGTGCAGGAGAACCTCGAGCTCGCACTCGTCGATGCCGATGACCAGCTCGGCCGGCACAAGCTCGTAGAAGCCTTCTAGAAACGCCATCACCTGCTTCTCCACACGCGTCACGGCCCAGTAGTGCGCCAGCAGCGCAAGATACCACTCCTTGTTGCGCTCGGTCACCGCGTGGCTCGCCCCATCAGGGACAAGCTCGACCTCCGTCTCGCCGTCGCGGATGGTAAACGCCATCGCAGAGCTTGCCGACGCATCGTTGAACGCCAGCGGGAGGACTTGCTCGGCGTACACCATCGGCGCGTCGACCGCAAGGCACTCGGCCGTCACCGGGAGCCCGACCACAAGCCGCCGCAGTGAGAGCGAGAGCGGGACGCCCAGCTCGCGCCGCCCGACCTCGCTCGCTCCGTGAACCGCTCCGTCGTACACAATCTTGGCTGCCAGCCGCCCGCACAGCCGCAGCGCCGCGAGCCCGCTCTTGCTCCCGCTTGTCCGCCCCGCTTGCGGATGCGCTGTTCGTCCCGTCCGCTCAAAGAGGCCCAGCGCGCCGCTGCCCAAAGCGTGCGACGCAAGCGCTGCTGCCCAGCCTACAAACGAGCTTGCGCCACGAAGACGGAAACGCTTGCGCCACTTGGAGCTGCGCAGGCCACCGAGCTCACGCACCGCCGCCGGCCAGAGTCCCGCCAGCGTCTCAGGCAGTGACTCGCTGGCATCGCCCTCAACCTGCAGGCTGAGATTGACCCACTTGACGACACCCGACTCGCGCGCCGCCCGCGCGTGCTGTGCCTGCAACTCGGCGTACAACGCCGCGGTTTTGGCCTCGAGTGCCGCCGCTGCGTGCTCACGTCCGCCGCGTTCCTCCGCTGCCGCCTGCAGCGCCACAAACGCGCCGTATAGCACCTCGCGCTCCTCGTGCCTCACAACCGCCATCCGCAGCGACTCACGCGAGTTGGAGATCGTGAACTCGGTCTGCGACCCGGGGTCAAGCACAAGCCTCGCCCCGCGCCCGAGCCGCATCTTAGCCACACGCTGCGGCACAAGGCCAAGCAGCACATACCGCTTGAGTAGCAGTCGTCGCGGCGTGATGACTAGCTTCAACACCTCGCTTTCCTCCACAACCACCTCATCGCCCGAGCTCCCCATGACCGCCAGCCGCTCGTCCACCACCATCGTCGTCAGCGACGCAGAGTGCAGCACAACCTTGAACGCAACCTTGGAGACCACGCCGCCGCTGCCACCGCTGCTCGCTTCGGCCTCCAGCCCAACCAGCGATGTTGCCGAGAGCGTTCGCCCGACCATGCCGCTCTCGCCAGAGTCAAAGCTGCTTCCGCCGACCTTGCCGACCGAGGCCTCGGACGGCGTCGCAGGCTCGGACATGGTGAGTCCGTGCTTGAGCGATGCCGAGAGCGCAGAAATCGCCGACCGAGCGGTGAGCGGGGGCGTCAGGGCCTCCCGCAGTGCCGCAGCCTGCGTCACACTCAGCACCACCACGTTCCACGTCGCCAGACTCTCGCCGTCGAGCAGGAGCCGGCCGGTAAAGACGCCTTCGGCGTGGACCGTAAAGACAAGGGCATAGAGCCCGTTGTGGTAGTCATCGAGCCGGGCCTCGTACGCTTCACAACCATCAAGGTTGAACGACATGGCCTCCGACGCGCCGCCGCAAAGATCCGGTTGTGGTACCCATCGCGTGCTTCGATCGTCACTCGAGCCTCGCGGAAGACCACCAGCGGCGCAGGGCCAAGGCCATCGCCGCCAACCACACACCCGCGCACGTCGATCGTGCCCGGTGCCACCTCCAGCTCCAGCGGTGAGCCGGTGACAGGCACCCCGTGCAGCGTGGCTACCAGCCGGTACATGCCCGCCACTCGTGGCGAGAGGACAACGGCGACCGCCCCGTCCTCACGCAGCGCCACCGACTCGAGCACTCCGCCGCCCTTGCCCCCGACATGCGGCCCGCCGCTTTCAACCGCGCTCGCCGCGCGCTGGACCGCGATGCCAAGCCCAAGCGCAGCCACATGCCGAGGGACAACGCCCTCGATTCCGGCCTCACCCTCGCCATCGCCGCCGGCACCCTCTTCAGCGGTGGCATACGGGCCGCGCCCAGCTGCCGCACCGTTGGCTCCTGCGCCCAAGCCGCCAACATCCTTCGCAACCACCCCCGCCCCGTCAGCAGTGGCAAGTTTGACGACGATCGCTGTTGGCTCGCCCGGACGGAGCACATCGACTGGAGCAACCAGCCGCGAGTTCGTGGCCGAGAGCGAGCCGTGTGCCGCCAAACTCACCATTACCATTGATGACGACACATGTGTGTCCCGTGCAGCTGCCCGTCGCCATGATATCCACAGACCAAGCGTGCCGAGACCGACGCATGCCGTGGCGCCGAGTCGCGTTGCCAGCAGTCCGCCCGCCGTCGAGAGGAGCCAGCCGAGGAGATAGAGAACAGCCACCGTGGGCACCACCAGACACACCCACACAAAGCCAATACCAAGCACTTCGCCACTCTCAAACCGCTCGTCCCACATGCCGCCGCGCCCTTTCGCTCCGCTCCCGCCTGGCTGCTCCCTCCCAACCAGCCGGAGCACGGTGTGCGTCAAGTGGCCGCTAGACGCCAACCCAGCTGCATGCACCCTGCTGTGTTCGGATTATTCATTGTACACGGGAAGAACGGAAAGCCAGTCCAGTTAGTTGCGGCGGAGGCGCGAGGAGCGGCGGGGGCGGGCCGACGGCGAGGCCACGATCTCCTTCTCGAGGCGATCGAGCTGGCCCTCGGCAGCGAGACGGGCCTTGCGCTCGTGCTCGGCGCGGGCCTCGGCGTCCTTGGTCGCCGAGTCGAGAAGCGCAGACGTTGCCTGCCATTCGGCCATGCGGGCCTCAAGCTCGGCCTTGGCCGCTGCGGCGCGCTTGGCCTCAACGGCGCGATCGTGCTCGAGGCGCTCGGCCTCCTGGGCGGTGACCTTGGCATCGATCTCGACAGCCTTGGCTGCCTCGATCTCGCACACCAGCTTGGTCGACGTCGCCTTGAGCGAGGCCTCAACATCACGGACCGAGTCGACAGCACGCGCCGCAGCCTTGTTCGCGAGATCGACCTCCTGCTCGCCCTTCTCGGCAAGCTTGGCCCGGGCGGCCTCGGACGCTGCGAGATCGGCCTCAAGCGAGACAACCTTGGCGGTCGCCGCAGCAGCACTGGCCGCGGCCTCGGCGGCCTTCGCCTTGGTCGCCTCGAGCGTCTTGCTCATCTGCTCCAGGAGGGCCTCGGCGCGTGCCTCGGCACCACGGCGGACCTCGGCCTCCTCGGCAGCCTTGGCGCCGGCGGCGGTGGCAGCGTCGCAGGCCGCGATGGCCTCGGTGAGCGCAGCCTGGACCTCGGCCTTGGCCGCAGAGAGCATCTCAATTTCGCGGCGAGCATGGTCGTTGCTCAGCTGCAGGTCCTCGTTGGCCTGGCTCAGCATCTTGACCTTGTCCTCGAGTGCAGTCAGCGTTGCGTTGGACGCCGCCTGCGCCTCGACGGCCTCGGTGGCCTGGGTAAAGCCGGCCGCCGCAGCAGCCTGCAGCGACGCTTGTGCCTCACTCAGCTGGCTCTCGAGCGCAGTGTTGGCAGTCTCGAGACGGCCGACCTGCATGGCAAGCGCCTCGGCGTGCGTCGTGGCAGCCTCGGCAGCTTTGACCGCCTCGTACCGCGAGGTCTGCGTCTCGGCGAGCTTGGCGGCAACATCAGCTTTGTCAGCCGCAGTCTCCTCGAGCGCGATCTGGGTCGACTCGAGCGTCTCAAGTGCCTCCTCAAGCATGGCCTGTAGCGTCGCTGCATTGGTAGCCTCGCGATTGGCACGCTCAGCAGTTGCTGCGCTCTCCTGGACCAGCGCGGCCGAGGCGGTCATCGACGATGCGAGGCCCTTGGACGCGGTCTCTGCCGCCACCGACGCCGAGAGTGACGACTTGGTGGCCGCCACAAGCTGTGCCTCAAGGTCGGCGATAGTTGCGTCGCGCGAGTCGATCGACGCCCGCAGCTCGGCCTTGACCTCGGCGAGCTCGGCTGCGAGCTTAGCCTTGGCCGACTGCTCGGCCGCCAGCTGAGCGCTGATCGCCTCGATGGCCGACGAGGCCTTGGCAACCGCAGCCTTGGCGCCGGCGCCTTCGGCCTCGGCAGCACGGGTAGTTGAGACCGCCGCAGCTGACTCGGCCTGGGCCTCAGACAGCGCCATCTTGGATGAGCTCAGCGCGCGCGACTCGGAGTCGAGCTGCATCTCCATCTTGATGCGAAGCTTGTGCTCACGCGCAAGCTCGGCCTCAACAAACGCGATGCGCGACGAGGTCTGCTCCGCCATCGACTTGGTCTCGGCCTCGAGCTCACGGTACTTGTCGGCGAGCTTGCGGCGCTTGGTGCTCTCGCGGGCGGCGGCCTTGCTCGCCTCGGCAGCCTCGGTCTTGGCGCCCTCATACTTGAGGTCGAGCTCACGGAACTTGGCCTGCAGCTCAATGTGGTCAGTGCGAAGCGCGGCGTACGACTCCTCCACCACCTCGAGCTTGGCCTGGGTCTTGCCGAGCAACACCTTCTCCGAGTTGAGCTCGCCCATCAGGCTCTGGATCGACGAGTTCTGCAGCGACGACGAGAGCACCCGCGACGAGTCGCTGTCGAGGAAGAGCGACGTGGCGCCGTCAAACGGCTTGCTCGCCGGCGCCGTCTCGTTCTCGCTCACTGTCAGGTCCTCCATCTTGAGCGAGAGCACATTCTCGTCGTTCTCGTTCGAATCGAGCACCGACTCGGGCGCAACCACAGGCAGTGGCGACGCGCCGCCGCCCAGAATCGACCGCATGGTCGACCGACGACGGGCCGTCCGCCGCACCGGCGACGACACCGTCGCCGACTTCTTGAACGACTTTCCAGCCGGCGAGTCCTGGCTTCCGGCGTGCTGCATCAGCATGCCCATCTGGTCCTGGCGACGAGCAGACTTGGACATCTTCGTCCTGCAGAGAGGCGACCATGATTGAATGCAGATCAGAATGATGGCGACAGTGGCAGCAGCAGCAGCAGGGGGGGACTGGGTGAGTCACATGTTGTCGTCTCTAGTACGCCCTTTACACACACTCGAGGTGTGTACTTCTTGCTACATGCCACACAAGCCATATGGGGTTGGTGGGGTTGGTGGGGGGGCGTATTGCCTCTGGTAGCGGTACAGAGGGCGGAGAGCAGGTGGGCGCCAATGGGGGAACAACGGCTGAAAAAGTTGAAATTTTGTGTGCAGGGTCTCCGGTCCAGGCGGAACGCGCGCGGCTGGTATGGGCAAGGCAGGACAGGTATGGCAAAGATGACAGCGGGGATGGGGATGAGGCATACAGTTTGGGGTTGGGGGTTGTTGGGACAAGTTGGAGTTGAGTGTGTGAAGAGTGCGATCTGATCGCGCTGCGCGGGGGTTGCATGGGCAAACGGCAGCGGGTCACAGCTGACACATCGGCTGGCTGGGATTGGTAGTGGCGGAGGAGACTTGCACAAGCTTGCGGATCGGCACTTTCGCGTCTTTTTACAACCGACTGCGCTAGTTGTAGGCATTGGCTGGGATGGCACCACGGGCGTCCATTTCCTGAAGGGCAGCGAGGGTGGCGTCGGGCATCCAACCGTTGGCATCGAGGACGGCCGAGGCAAACTCAAAGTTGAAGTTGAACTGGAGGGAGAGCTCGCGGACGAGCGACATCTGGTCGGGGTTAAGGCTCGGCGCGTCGCTGGGGCCAGAAGGTCCGGGCGAGAGGGCGCGGAGGACGGTGTCGGCCTGGCGGTCGTTGGTGATGGCCTTGCGGACGCGGAGCATGTCGTTGATGACGTAGAGCGGCCAGCCTGCGGCGGCGGCGAGCGATTCGGGCTCGGCTTGGGTGAGGGTAAGGATGCGGTCAAAGGGGCGGACGATGCCGTCTGCGGTCTCGCATACGACGCCATGGAGCGAGACAATGATGACCGGGACCGAGCCGGCGTAGGCGACGACCTGGTCGGCCACGGCCGACGAGGTGTCGTGAGCGGTGGCGCGGAGGTGGGTGATGGCGTTGATGACGTCAATGTTGCCGCATGCGACTCGCTTCATGCGCTCAGTCACGGTGGTGACAGCAAGCAAGTTACGCGAGAGCGGGTAGTAGTCGACGAGGCTTGGGTCCGCCACGTCGTCCTTGCCCTTCTTGCGCCCGCGTCGCGGACGGCGATCCTTCTTCTTGGCAAAGGCATCGGTGGTGACGTCGTCGATGTCGCCCTCAGCGGTGAGTGAAAAGTATGACTCGGTCGGATGGTATGCGTCAAGAAGGCCAGTCCGGTCCGGCGAGTCGTAGACGGCCAGAAACTTGGAGAGGAAGGCCTGGACAAGCTCGCCCGGGCCGCCATCCTCGGCGTACGAGCCAGTGGCAGGGAGGCCCGGCGAGGCCTGGACCGACGCCAGCACGTCGTCGGGGAGCGGGAAGCGGACAGTGGCCTCGGTTGGCGCGCCGTCGAGGGTGACAACGTCCGGAAAGCGGCGGAGAACTTGCCACTGGTACTCGACTGGATCGATGTTGCGGGTCACCGGATTGTCTCCGAGCTCAAAGATGCAGAGGCCCGGCAGCGCGAGCGCGTCCAGGTCCTTGAACGACGACACGGCGTTGGACGCCAGTGAGAGCGCCTTGAGCCCCGGAACAGCCTTGCCAAGCCCTGCAAACAGGCGCAGGTCCTTGATGTAGTTGTGCTGGAGCGAGAGCATCGCCAGATCCGGCACATTGCGCCGGAGGCAGTCGAGGAGGAGGTCGACAAAGACCTTGTTGCCAAAGTGCGGCGCAAAGGTCCGCGCGTTGCCAACCTGATGCAGCGCGTCAAGCTGCAGGCACTGGCTGCCCGCATCGTACCGCGCCGCAAGCGCGCTCTCCAGCGCAGAGATCTCGTTGGCGTTGTAGCTCTTCTTGAACGGCATCTTGGACTTTGAGCCCTTGCCAACTCGGCTCGACGAGCCTTCCATCTCCATGCTCGAGTTGCCGCCGCCCGATGGGCCAGTCACGCGCACCGACAGCTTGGAGCGCTTGAACGACATTCCATCAACCCGCTTCAGCGCATTAGCCTGCTTCGACGAGGCGATGGTGAGAAAGGCCTTGTTGCCCTTCATATCCACCTGGGCCGACAGCGCCCCAATCTTTGACCGCAGAAACTTGAGCAGTTCCGAGACAGAGCAACCAGGCAAGCCAAAGATGGAAGCCTTCCACTCTCCGCCGCCCCCGCCACCACGACCGCCACCACCACGACCACGGCCGCGGCCACGGCCACCTCGAGAAGAAGAAGAAGAAGATTGCGAGCCCCTTCGCCCACCACCACCACCACCACCACCACCATTACGCCCTCCACCTTCGACTTCCATAGACGCACCACCTCCTCCGCGCCCGCGCCCGCCACCACCACGACGTCCACGTCCGCCTAGCGCCGAGAGAGAGTATGTGTGAGAGTGAGAGGGAAGGGAGAGGGGGGGGGGGGGGACGGTAAGGGCATGCGCATTGAGGCGTACTGCTTTTGCGTCGGGCCATGCGGAGGGAGACTTGGATTGCGTTGAGTGGCTCTCGCTCTCTCTCGCTCTCTCTCCGTACCTTGCCCAAAGGTGTGTGGTGTTGGGAGGTCGTCTGTCGTGGCGAGCCGACGGGAGCGCGACTTGGCGGAGAGTGACAAAGCAGACAGGGGTTGGGGGGAACGATCTTGAGCGATGAGAGGCTGCGATGGGACGGGGGGAGATTGATGGTGGCAGAGAGAGAGAGGTGCTGAGAGATGGGGAGGGAGTGATGGTAGGGGAGTGGGATGACGAGATGGAGGGTGGAGAGGGTCTGAAGAGGTCGGCGGTTGGAGGGGAAGAGGGATCCGGGGCGAGATCACAATCACAGGGTGGAGGGAGAGGGCGGTTTCGGAGGTAGATCTCGACAAGTACGTCTTTCCAAATACTACTCATCAGTGGCTGAGTTTATCATATGTGTGAGCATGTGCTGCTGGTATTACTTTCTTCATTGCTCTCGTATGCTGTTCAATCGGGGGTAGTGAGCGTGGTCGAGTGTGTCCGTGCGCTTGATCAGCGAACCACTTTGGTGAGCTGGCGATGTAATTGCGGTGATATAGTAAACATTACCCGACATGCTGGGCGGGACAAATATCAGACTCGGATTGGGACGAAGCATTGTGGTTCATTCATTCGGGCGAGGCGCAGAGACGGGCAAGGGCAAGCGCGAGCTTTCTAGCTTCATCGGCCTTTGCAGTGAGGGCCTTGTTGGCGTTGTCGAGCTTTGCCTGGACAAGGGCGAGATCTGCGGCGGTGTCGGCAGCGCGACGACGCTCGGTGAGAACGGTGGCGGCGTGGCGTTTGGCGACGATGATGGCGTCGTCGCGCTCTGCGGCGAGGCGATGCGCGGTGCGGGCGGCACGCTTCTTGTCCTTGTTGCGGCGAGCTGCGACGGCGAGGAGTGTGTCCATGACCGAGGCCATGAGATCGCGGAGGGTGGCGTTCTCGCGGGCGAGGACGGCGTTGTCGTCGTAGACGCCATCCTTGTCACGGCTGAGACGGGAGTTGGTTTCCATCAGCTCCTCGAGCGTGTCCTGCATCCAGGCGATGGTGTCGTTGAGCTCGGCGGCGGTGGCGACCTGAGCCGAGGCCTGGCGCAGAACGGCGGTGACGTCGTTGACTTGGGCGGCGCCGGCGCGGGCGTCGCTGGCTTCGCTGCACATCCGCTCCTCGACCGCATCTAGCGTGGACTCAAGGTTGTCGCGGTCGTCGCGGAGTTCGGCAAGCGCGGATTCGTACTCGGCGACGGCAGCAACAAGGGCGTTGCGCTCGGCTGTCGCGGTAGCGAGCTCATCCTTGAGCGCAGCCATGCCGGCGACGTTGCCACGGGCGGCGTTGACTTCGGCGGCAAGCGCATCGCGTTTGGCCTTGACGCCGGCTAGCTCATCGGCTGCTGCCACTGCTGCCGCCTGAGCCTGAGCCAGCTGAGCTTCTACGGCTGCCAAGCGGGCCAACTCTTCGCGGGCAGCCTCGAGTTCGGTGTGAGTGTGGTTGAGCGCATCTGAGACGGTCTCGAGCTGTGCGCATGCATCTCGGGCGGTCTCCTGGTCTGCGCGTGCAGCGACAAGCTCAGTCTTGCACTTGTTGAACTTTGCTACTGTTGCGTCTTTGTCGGCGAAAGCCTGCTCGCGCTCTGCCGTTACTGAGTCCAGCTTAGCCACGGCCTGATCGCGCTCTGCCGTTACTGAGTCCAGCTTAGCCACGGCCTCATCACGCTCAGCCACCAACACCTCCAACTCTGCCAAAGCCTCGTCACGCTTGGCCGCACCCCCCCAGCTCCGCCAAAGCCTCGTCACGCTTGGCCGCCACCACCCCAAGCTCCGCCAAAGCCTCGTCACGCTTGGCCGCCACCACCCCAAGCTCCGCCAAAGCCTCGTCACGCTTGGCCGCCACCACACCCAGCTCCGCTAAAGCCTCGTCCCGTGCCGCATTCGCAGCATCATGAGCAGCCGCAGCCGAGTCTCGGGCAGCCAGCGCAGCCTCAAGCCGCGCCTCTAGCCGGGCCGCAGCCGCCAGCGCAACGTCACGCTCGTCTCTCAACGCCGCAACCGCATCATGCAGCTCAGCCGCGCTGTCGCTCGCCGCAGCGGCCTCGGCGGCGGTGCGGGCGGCATCAAGATGCCGCGCCAGCTCGTCGGCAGAGCTTCGGGCCGAGTCGAGGTCAATCTGAAGCGAGGCGGCGCGGGCAGCCTCTGCGGAAGCCTCTGCGCGTGCGGCGTCGCGCTCGGCAAGCGCGGCAGCTTCTGCGTCGCGTGCGGCGTCGCGCTCGGCAAGCGCGGCGTCGCGCTGAGACTCTGCGGCCGCCAGATTGCCGAGCTTGGCGTCGGCTTCGAACATTGCAGCTTGGCTCCGTGCTGCGCGAAGCTCGGCTTCAAACTCACGCCGGACCTGGGCCACAGCATCCTCGAAGCTGGCCTCATGCTCGTCGACATGGCGCCAGGCGACCTCGCGCTCGACAAGCGCGTCCGACAGCCGCTGCTGCAGCGAGTCGCGCTCGCGGAGCAACCGCTCAAACTTAACCCGGCTGATTGTGGCACCGGCGTCGCTGGCGGCGATGTCGGCGTCGAGCGTGTCGTCGACATCCTCCAGGCCGGCCTCGTTGACCAGCGGCGCGAGCTCGTCTAGCGCGGGCGCCATCTGCGGCGACTTGATGGCTTGCTCCAGAACCGGAACAACTGGAACAACCTCACCATCGTCGAGCTTGAACCGCAGTCTACGGCGCAGACGCATCAGTGCGTCCTTGTCGCCGAGCGAGCCGGCGCGCTTCCGCTGCCGGACCATGAGGCCCTCCTTGACCGACGCAAACTCGTCCTCGGCCGCCCAACGCGCATTCTCGCGCTCTAGCACCTGAGAGGCATGAATCTTGATGGTGATTTTCCTCGACCGATCATTAAACCAAGCGTCACCTCTCTGGTCGTCGTCATCGTCATGTTGGGCATCATCTTCAGCCTCTAGCTCCCCGTTGTCGACCCCGACCGCATCATTGCTGTCCTCGACGCCGGCCGCTGGCTCGTCTTGGCCAGTATCATCCGTCGGCGAAGCGGGCGGGAGGTGCTTGCGGCAGTAGAGCTGGCCATCAGCGACCTTGATACGACTGTCCCGGAGCCATTCCTGACAGACGGCACAGCGGAGGCAGTCTCTGTGAAAGGGACCTGCTCCGTCGACCCTTCTCGGCACGCCAACCAGCTCCTCGCCACACCCACTGCACACCAACGGCATCTTTGCACGCCACCCTTTCCCCTCTGTCTCTCTTTCTCCTTCCCCCTTGCCGCTCGAGTGCGGTGTGCCTTCCCTCCCCCCCCCCCCCCTCCGCCACCGGCGTTGAGCTGTCTGTCGTTTCGCCGGTTAGCGAGCCAGGGCACCGGGGGGGGGGAGGGCAAGTGGCGGTATCGGTAGGGAGGGGAAGGGCGGGAGAGGCAGCAGTCCGACCTTATCCCGCTATGACTACCACAGCATCGTAAACGCCACTACCTTACGCCCACTCTCATACCCACCATCACCCCCGATCGCCTCCGATCGCCCCCCCCCCCTCCCCCCTCTCGTCTACGCCCCCCTCCCCTCTGCGCATCTCCACACATCGATAACATCCTCCCCCCCATCCACCCCACCCATCACAACCCACAACCTCTCTCTCACTCACCCCATTCTTCCCCGATCCTTCCCATCCCCATCCCCATCCCCATCCCCCACCCCCTCCCCCTCCCCCACATCCCACCACCTCGGCCTCGGCCAACCCCTCCCCCCCCCCGCCCCACCCCACCCCACCCCCGCATCACCTCTCTTCCACCCAACTCGAGACATTACCATGTCCACAGGAGCAGAAGAGGCTACGGCCACCCCGCCTGCACCTGCGCCCGAGACACAGTCCCCAACCCCTGCCGCCACCACCACTGCCACCACCGCTGCTGCCACCTCGCCCGAGCCCGCGGCTAGCGCATCTACCGCTGCCGATGAAGGTGTGGAGGCTGAGGCGAGCAAGCCGACGAGCGAGAGTGCGGCGGCACCGGTGGATGATGCCGCAGCGGAGCTGGAGGCTATGCTGGCATCGGTGCAGAAGCTGGATGAGGAGGCGGCGATGATGGCCAAGCTGCAGGCGGCCGAGGAGGTCGGGAGCGGTGCTGCGGCGAGCGGAGAGGCTGCCAGCACGACTGGTGGCGAGGAGAAGGGCGGGCTTGGACGCGGTGGTGTCGACGATGAGGTCGACTACGAGGAGATGAACGCGCGGACAGTGCTGGTGACCAACGTCGACTTCTCGGCCACGGACGACGATCTGACCGAGCACTTTAGCTCGTGCGGCGCCATCCGCCGCATCACCATCGCCAAGGACAAGTTCACTGGTCGCCCGCGCGGCTTTGCCTACGTCCAGTTTGACGACAAGGACAATGTGTACAACGCCATCCTCCTCAACGAGTCGCTGCTCAAGGGCCGGCTCATCAAGGTTGTGCCCAAGCAGACCGGCCGAGGCCGCCGCCGCCGTCGTCGTCGGCGTCGCCGCCGCCGCCGCTCCTCGTACTATGCCCCGTATTGAACAGCTACTGTACCTCTCTGCTCCAGCTGGCGAACGCCATCGTGTTATGAGAGAACCAACATCCAACCTGGTCTGCGCTCAGCGCTTCTTGCCGCCCTTGGCGTTACCCTTGGCCTTGTTCTTCGATGCCTTCTTGGAGGCGGTCGAGCTGGCGGCGGCAGCCTCGTAGTCGGGGAAGCACCCGGCAAACGTCTTGTTGAGCTTCGAGTGCTTGGCATCGATGTGGGCCTGCAGCGAGGCCTGCGACGAGGTGCACATAAACGTTTGGAAGCAGACCTTGCACTGAATGCTCTGCGCCTTCTTGATCGCCTTCAGCTGCGAGCCCTTGCCTGCCGCCGCCTTGCGCGCCGCGTTGCGCTCGCGGGCAATCTTCGACTTTTGTGCGCTGTCCTCCCCCCCCCCCCCCGGCCCCCGCGATATCGCCAGCCAGCCATCAGCCAACCAAGAGACCAGGAGTCCAATCGTCCCAATCATCACCACCATGTCCCATTCCGATCCCCATTTGCCCGTCCGCCCTCTCCACCATCAGTCCTTCTCCTACCACCTCCACCAAACGAACAGCGCCACTTGCCCGCCTTCCCACCCCCCCCC